GGGGAGGGAAGGGAGGGAGCGAAGAGGGGATAGAGAGTCGAGAGGGGAGCTGAAGGCACAGTTGAAGAGAAAGGTCTTGAGACCGGCCTTGAAGGAGGAAAGCGAGGAAGCAAGGCAAAGGCACTGGGGGATGGAGTTCCAGAGCCGAAGGGTTCCAGAGCCGAAGGGAGGAAGAGTGATGGATTCACCCTGGTGATTGAAAAGAAAGTAAATGAATGTGGGTGATTTCAAATCTTTTTGTGGTGGCCTTCCAATATTTAACTGCCCCCAACCCAACACTAATTGGAAATCTCTTTCAAAGAGGCCTCCAGCTGGCTGGCTGGATACAGTGTGAAATGGAAAGTCTCACACTTGATGCAGTACCACATTACTACCGGGCTGGGACTAAGACATAAGACAGTTTTACTTTGCAGTTAACCCTGCTAATATCTATCCTGGCTCCACTTGATGCAGTTACTTGTTGCCCAAAATAAGAGTGTTCCATTACCAAACTCCTGTAATAAGCACAAACACTTCATCAAATTAAAGTTGATTTTAGAGGCAGTATTAGCCTTCATTAGCAGAAAGTTGGACATTCTGACAAATAAAAATCTGCAAACATCTGCAAGCTCCAACTTCACTTCTTTTCCTGTAAGTGATATCTAGATGAAATGGTCACTTGTGATATATGCCCTTTTCCTCCCTATGGTCAACCACAGAACACTTCAAGCAACTTTGTTCTCTTCCACTCTATGGTCAACCACAGTCCAACTCAAATGATTCAAAAAATGTTATTACAGAATCATCAGGCGCTGAAAAGTTGAGCAACTCACATGACTTTCTGAACTGCAGCTGTCAGTACTATTTCGAATGCAGCACAGCATTAATCATATTATCACATTAATGAGACTGGAGTGAAAAACTGAGTGTGAAGAGGGAGCAGAAGCATCCAGTGTCAAAACGTGCTGATTTATAATTACCTAACCTACGTGATGAATGGTAAGTAGTGTTGTGAGGTCCTATCTAAGTGATAGAGGGCAAGAACCAATATTAGTCACTTTTCTCTGTCGGGAAGTCCTGACTAAGCACTCGTTACAAGAGCAAATATTGCTTTCTAACAAAATAAATCTATTTCAAGTGAGTTCTGATCATCCACATACAATGCATTTCCAGCATTTAATGTTTTGATTTCCCGAATTAATTAATTCCCTCTCATTTTCAATCAAGTCTAATTTTATTGGGCATATTAAGAGGGCAATGTACAGAGCTGCTTGATGGAACATAAACTCAGTGGTTAAAATAGAATTATGAATTTTCTTATAATATGTATTATAACAAATAACTTGTAACAACACAAGTAGTTGTCTTATGAGCTTGTCAGCATTTTCCTGTTCATAATGTGGTAAATGTGTCAGAATCATTAAAAAGAGCACCGAATTAGTGCAATCATAAGATGTATTTGTTGATGACTGATCCCCAAAGAAACAGCATTTCCTTAAAGAACTGTGATACACAACAGCACTGTGTTCCAGAAGATTGCTGCACAATAACAAGCAGGCACAAATACCGTCATTCACCTATTGTAGAAAGATCAGTGACCCCCATCAAATCATATTGCCAGCGAGCCAGCCAACTAGCCAACCCATTGCACAAGACCGGTGTAAACAATAACAACCTGGGGCATGCTGCCCTTCTGACTGAAGGATGCTATGTGGGGACAACAGGACGCTAAAGAACAGTAAACAAAGAAGGTGGAAGAAGAAAAAATATGAGAATAAAACAAATAGGACTGTACCTTGATCAGTTTGAATCTTTATCATTTATTAATTTTTAAAATTCCTTTATGTAGACGTACATTCACTTTTTGTCAGTCAGGTCTCTGACACACATGGAAACCCAAGAGCAAACTTTCTCCTCAGCTAGTCAAGGCAATGTTAACTTAATTATATTTTCATCACTCATCAGAAGCATGGAGTGTGCTGACAGATGCCTTATGCACAGATAACTGCTGCCAGTGCATGACAGTGCAGAAAGTCACAAACAGAAAAGGCTTCCACATGAAATCAAATGGTATTTACTGTATCAAAACCAAACAGGACATTGAATCACAAAGTTGTAAAATGTGGCTTCAGCCCAAGAAACTGGATTCTCAGTTACACCACCGGGAAAAACCTGAACAGAGACCAAGTCACTCCCACATGGATAGCCAGAAAACTAGTGATAATCTGCCATGGCTGTGCTACTTGAGTGATTGCTCTCTGGTTATCTGAGAAGCAAAGCCTTTCAATCATTGTCTTATCATTTAAGATTGTGCAGAATTTGGGAAAATTATGAAATTCAGTTTTAATTATGCTGTTCTTAAAAACATTTTTCAAATTAAGAATCAATTTTAAGAATTTTCCAAAATTCTGCACAATCTTACATGTTAAGACAGGCATAGATCATCAATTAAACCGCTGTCTTTAATAACTCCCAACAGTTTATATATTAACACAAATCAAACGGCCATTAAGGTGGCCCTTAAAAGTAGCAGCATTCTTTTCAATTTGTCAGAAAATAGACCAAATACTGCTGTATACACCAATGGATATGAGCTCGGGATGACATATTCCACAGGTATTTCTGTATCTAGCACTGCGTGTCTACTTTTCCTCCAAAATAATAAATTAATTTCGCCAGATAAAGAACTATTTGATGGCAAACATCGAGGACAAATGATACCAGTATTTCTTCGTTCCTGCCTCTATTCTCTTTTAATCAAATGCAGATCACTCCTCATAATTCTAATTTAGGTGCAAAGTAACTCAGATTTAATTATATCCAACCATATGGTAAAGTATATCAATGTCCAAAAGTCCAGCATACAGATGGCAAGCATTTGTTTAATCATCTTTACACCATATCCTTTTCAGATTATTTGAAGATGCGGATACATTTTCAAAGCATTGATAACAAGATTCCCCTCCACCAAGAAACCCATCAAATTTATTTATACATTTATTGATTTTATTGCAGATATATCATGTAAAGCAGTTTCATAAAAACTGCTTCCAAATTAACATAGTAAATGGAGCAGAAACAATGCCTTTTCTGTACCTGGCACCAATCTCACTCAATAAATTAGCAATCTCACCAGCACTGGTGGCTTTGTATACAATCCTGCTGTAAACCCTGTGTCTGCTGACCTCTTAGGCCCAGACAGAGGTGCTTTACTGTTAACCACAGAGCAATGATTTGCATTTCATCAGTTTTTAAACAAATGTCAACTGGGGATAAGGAAGGCAGAACTGAAAGACATCCCCATCCAAAGAATCAAGCACTACCCATCCCCTTCCTTTTGGGCTCCAGCAAAACAAGCCCTCATGTCTGCAACTCTGAAAGACAGATAACCTTCCCTTCCATCAGTCCTAACATACACCCCAGAAGCTCCTGGGCGTGAGAGGCGCTATACAATGTAATTTGTTGTTGTTGTTGTTGTTGGAACCCAGCCCTTACACATACACTTTTGAAACACCAGCACTGAAAACAACAACAACTTGCATCTCTATAGCACCTTTCACATAGGATAAAAAGTCTCATCTGAGTGCTTTGTGGGTGCTGGGGTTGGACGCCAGGGCAAAGGGACAAAGTGGAGGAAGGAGATGGGTTTTCAGATGGAATTTAATAATAATAATAATTTGGGATTCAATGATATGTAAAAGAGGGGGTGAGGCAGAGAGTTCCTGAGGTTGGAGGTGTAGTGGTTGATGGCACGGCCAATGGTGGAGGGGGGGCACAGCTGAGCTTTGGGGGGGGGGGGGCAGAGGAGCGGGGCACAACAACAACAACAACAACTTGGATTTATATAACGCCCTCCACGCCGGACGGCGTCTCAGGCACGAGCAGAAAGACACACATTCCAGCACTGGTCATGAACCACCCCAAGAGACCCCAGCCCTGAGGCACCCCCCCGCCCCCCCCCAACCTGACCCCAGCCCTGAGGCACCCCCCGCCCCCCCAACCTGACCCCAGCCCTGAGGCACCCCCCGCCCCCCCCAACCTGACCCCAGCCCTGAGGCACCCCCTCCGCCCCCCCCCCCCACAACCTGACCCCAGCCCTGAGGCACCCCCCCGCCCCCCCAACCTGACCCCAGCCCTGAGGCACCCCCCCCCCAACCTGACCCCAGCCCTGAGGCACCCCCCCGCCCCCCCAACCTGACCCCAGCCCTGAGGCACCCCCCCGCCCCCCCCAACCTGACCCCAGCCCTGAGGCACCCCCCCGCCCCCCCCAACCTGACCCCAGCCCTGAGGCACCCCCCCGCCCCCCCCCCCACAACCTGACCCCAGCCCTGAGGCACACCCCCGCCCCCCCCCCCCAACCTGACCCCAGCCCTGAGGCACCCCCCCGCCCCCCCCCAACCTGACCCCAGCCCTGAGGCACCCCCCCGCCCCCCCCAACCTGACCCCAGCCCTGAGGCACCCCCCCACCCAACCTGACCCCAGCCCTGAGGCACACCCCCGCCCCCCCCCCCAACCTGACCCCAGCCCTGAGGCACCCCCCCGCCCCCCCCAACCTGACCCCAGCCCTGAGGCACCCCCCCCCCCCCTCGCCACCCCTCCAACTACCTCCCCTCCCCCACCGGCTCTGAAGCCCAAGAACTCCCCAGTACTGTAGCCGCCCCCTCCCCCCCAGAGACCACCAGATGCCGTCACGTCGCGAGGACGACGAAGGCGGTGGGTGGCGTTGGTGACTGGGGAGGGGGGGGGCGGTTAGTGGCCGAGGGTGGGGAGGGGAGGGGGGGAGGCGGTTAGTGGCCGAGGGTGGGGGTGGGGGTGGGGGGGGGAGGCGGTTAGTGGGTGGGGGTGGGGGGGGGAGTGGCGCTGTGTCGGGATCAGCTGTCAGGCGCAGTCCTTGTCCTCAATGTAAACAAACGGAGCGGAGCGGAGAGGCCGCGCGGGGTGGGCGCTGGTCCCGGGAGGGGGGGAGGGAGAGAGGGTGTGTGTGTGTGGGGGGGAGTGGGGGAGGAATGGCCGTCTCTTACCCGCTGCTCCCACCGCCGCCGCTCCTCCCGCACTCTTTCCTCGCCTCTCACTCACTGGACTCACTCACTTCCTGCGCAGCGCGAACCTCCTCCTCTCCTCCTCCTCCGCCGCCGCCGCGCCGCCTGCTCGCTTTTTGAGTCCGAGCGTTATCCCTCCGCCGCAAGTAGTGCGCCTCCAGAACGTCTGGAGCAGCTCAAGTGCTGCCACTGCGCAAACTCAGGGCCTGGACTGTCCCCAATGCTCATCAGTCTGTCTGTCAGTCTGTCTGTCTGTCTGTCTGTGTCAATGGAACAAATGATACACATTTACCTTTATTACAAATATATATATGTGTATATATATCTCGAATATATTGTGCAATAATAAAAAAAAGTAACTTAATCCCCCAAATAAGATTATTTCGCTCACTCCGTGGTTGTTTGGCAAACATTGCCTCCCACGCTTTCTTAGCATTACACAACAACAACAACAACAACAACAAAATTACATTTGTATAAAGCCTTTCATGTCGGGAGGACATCCAGAAGCGTTGGCTAATCAGTGTTCCCGAATCGAGCTGGGGATCAGGATCGGGGAGGGTGCAGGGCAGAGGGGGGGGGGGGAAGGAATGCAAAGAGCAGATGGAGCGGGTAGGTTGGTAGCGGGTTATGAGGTCGCAGAGGTAGAGGGGAGGGCTTTGAAGGTGAGGACATTGAATTGTATACTTTGTGTGATGGGAAGCCAGTGGAGTCGGGCGAGGATGGGGTTGATAGGGTCATGGAGCCTCGTGCGGGAGAGGACATGGGCTGCAGAGTTCCAGACCGACACTGCAGCGCACCGCATTTCACAGAAAACTGTGTGTATCGCTTTGCAATGTTGACTAGATAAGGAACCACATAAAACTCAAAATTGTCATAACCAAAAATAAATCAACCTTGCACGCTATAAAGTCAGACTTGCTATCTTTATCAAACATTCCCTCAGTGCTGCAAAAATGCAATTAAAGTTGGTTATTGAAACCAAATTAAATAATTTTTTATTTACTGAACACTTGCTGTGATGCAAATGTGATGCAAATGCAGCATCAGATCACAAAAACATTATCTTGCAAGATACAATCCAAGAAAAATTATTGACAAATTTTATTACTGCTTGTCCCCTCGTGCCAGACAGTGATCTTTTGAAAGAACATAATGACCATACAGTATTGGGAAGGTGCCAAGAAAATCCATTGCTTGAAAGAATTGAGAAGAGTTTAATCTGTTCTGTTATTTGCCCGGGAAAGTTCAATCTTTACACCAGATGATATTTCTGCTGCAGTAGGCTTCGTGTATTCAGATTCACTTTTAAATAAACTGAAATGCTTTTATACCACAAAGGACAAAAATAACCTTTCCATCCACAAATGGAAAATGGTTTCAGAAACAGAATTAGGGAATGTTCAGTGGTACACAGGGTGAAAGCAAATCGCAACCCTAAAATGGACTCATCTGAAAGTCAAAAACCAAAACTTAAAACAGCAGAACTGTGCAAACATTACATCAGTGTTTTAAGGTGGATACCGTGATATCATCATTAAGTGTTAGATACGCATCCATCTTCAAAGCTTTTCTATGAAACATGCAATTATTTTTAAGATGAACCAAAAAGTACCAGAATGTAACAACTGATTGTTGCATAATGTCAAAGAGCAAAATGAATAAGCTTTGTCACCAGGCCTTTTGGGATGCACATGAGCTATGTTGTTTTTCTGCCAGTGTCTGAATTTATTGTTCCATCTGCATAGAATACAAATATTAATAAACAAGAAATCTTGGAAACATCCTGCACACTAGATCCCACTCTGATTATATTTTCTATTATAGATCTCAAAATACTGTGTTGCCATGAAGCATAAGAGTCCAAATATAGTCTACTACAACACGTAGGATGTTTTGTCACTAACAATTGCTAGTTTAAAAAAAACTTGTGTGAAATCTATGATTTAAAACAAAAATAAGTCTGTTCAGCACAATGACCATAAATTTAAAACTTAGAATAGTTTAGGTGTTCTCCAAATTGTTGTGGGAAATATATTGTGTGGTTGAAATATTGAGCCTTAATCCAGGCTATCACTTCAGTGTATTAAACTTCATCAATGGAGGTGACTTTTCAGAAGAATCATTAAACCAAGATCCTATCTGTCTACTCAGATTAAAGATCCTGTGATATTATTTGAAAGTAGGAGGAAGGTTCTCCTCGCATCCTGGCCAATAGTCCTGCAGATACATCTCAATGATGTCATAAGGTGCTATATCAAATGCAAGGATTATGATTATTAACTGATCATTCACCCCATTTGCTCGTGCAAATGTCAGTCTTTGCCTACAGTAAACAGCAACGGTACAATTGAAATTAATTACTTATGTGGTACTTTGAGACATTCAGCATGATTAGGCGTATAAAAATTGAACCTTCTGTCCCAGAGAGGGACTACTACCAACTCAGCCAAGCAGCATGGGTAGCTTAATTTCCAACCCCCACTGTTTTAGCTCAGCAGCTCCCAATGTAGTTGAGATCAGAAACTCAGCAAAGTGCGGGTCTGTGTGTGTGTGTGTGTGTGTGTGTGAATGCTCAACCACACTGCCCCCAGCTTTCATTGTGATGAACAAACTGAGAGCTCGTATTACGCAAATATTTGCCAAACAAAGCTGTCAACACAAGGCATCCAATCGCATGGATTCGCTATAATCAGCACTAGTATTATGCAGCACTACTTACTTTCAATGGTGTGATCTTCTAGGAATAAGGATTTTGCTTTGTAAGCTTCCAGTGCTCAGGAACAATGGGCCATTTTGCCATACTGACAAGCCATTGTTCATTTGCTGGAAACTTAGCAAATACATGAACGCAACCATTTTGGCCAGCAACACAAAATAATCTTAAAAGTGAGATTGCAGGGTGATCCTCACAAGACTTTTCTTGGTGATCCAGGACTGGACATAACATTGTCAAAGTGTGCAGGGGAACTTCACACCAGCTCACATAGGTGCAAAACTGCCACGAATTTTTGATTTCAACTCAAAATACTTAAAATTTCTCAGTGATTTTATAGCAGAGCGAATGACGCAGTTCAAAAAAAAATGCTCAAGCAGTTTGCAGAGGGCATAGCTTCCTCAGAGATTTACTTAAGTACAGAATTTGTGGTAAAACTCCCTTTCAAGTGCAGTCACAAATCTACTGGGATTAAGCAGAGTCTCTACTTAGAAATACCTTCAACTGAAATCAGCTCAATTTATTGCATTAATAACATTAATCCACAGGGCTATTTGCTTACCATTTTCAGCTAAAACATAGAACAAAGTAGGATTTGCACATTACGTCATTTTATTAACAGAATGCTTTATGTTATTTGGATTCATAATAGGAATTAGAGCATTGTGCAGTATCCCAAACAAAATCCCACATTTAGCAAACACACTTTGTGCCTTTAAACCTACAATCACTTCTTCACATTAGAAACTAATTTTGACAACATACTTTAAGAAAAATGTTAAGCATTTACAGGTTCTTGCCCAAAAATCAGCCCCTCATACAATTCATGTACCATCATCTCCTTTCCATCTCATCAGTTGCATTTAACTTGCTTATGTTTTATTTCAAACTTTCTTACAATGCTGATTTCATGAACAGCACAGGATGTCATTACCACAAAGAAAAGCATGTAAGTGGTAGATACATTATCTTGGGGTTTTTAAAACGTTCGTTCTGGGATGCACAAAATCACTCATTCAGCAGAGCACACTGAAAACAGGTGCAACAAGCAAAGCTTTGAAGACATCATGTGCTTTGGGTATGTATCAGTTAATCCTGGGGGAAAAAGATCTGTAATTTTCCTCTACATTTAAACAGTACATGGTCTTAAAAATTCAAGTGAATGCACCACACGTTATTTGGAGGCTATTATTTTTTTCTAGATAATGGTTTAAATTATTTTTGTCAAGATGCATTTGATGCTGATGGAGAGTATGATAAGAGATTTTAATTAATTATGACTGTGACTTGTATGAGTGAGAGGCAGCAAACCATTTCAATTTGCAGTCCATACTTTGGGATAATCTTGCAAAGCATTAGTGCAGTGTTTTAACAACTCGTTTACAACTCAACGAGCAACACCTTGGGTAAAACATCATGCAGGACTTTGCCACACATATCTAGAAATGTCATAATACTAACTTAGATGCCTTTCTAAAATGGAGTTTATTGTAACACAGCAAAGCGATAGATCATCTTTGAAGAAAGCACAAAGAAAGTTTGAAGGAAATTGATTGAAAATGAACATTTCCTGACCTTTATCCCACCCCCTCAACATGAAACATCAAATGCTTTACATTACTATAAGCTTCACTTAGGTTCTCACACATTTGAGGATCGAGCCAATGGCACATATAGCAAATACCAGATTCAGTAGCTGCTTAATCAGGATCACTGCCTTATCAAACACTTACTAGCATTTAACACAGTGCTGAGGAGGGGAGTGTTCATTTTCAGTGATTTTGTAACACTTTTTAAAAATCGCTGCACCTGTGATTTCTTTTAATGTTTTTATTACCATTGTCTTTATATGGGTTAAAATTACGCTGGAGACATAAACCACATACCTATGATTGCATGACAGTGTAAAATCACAAAACTATCCAAGGCCATTATATTCTGAGCTAAGTTGTATTATGCTATGAATCACTTTACATGAAAATTAAAGTTCAAGTAGTATCTTTGTACAAGTCTACTTAACCTCTTGTGTGCTGTAGATGCCGTACATGACATCTGGTGTCAGCCCAGCTCAGAGTCAGAAGGCTGAGGGTTAAAACCCCACGACAGGACTTTGAACTCATTAAGTCTAGGCTGACACCAGTGTAGTGGGAGCGCTGCATTGTTGAATGTGCCTTCCTTCAGAGGAGACATCAGAGGTGGACGTTAAAGATCTCACAGCACTATTTGAAGTTGTGAGTTTCTCCCAGTATCCTGGCCAGCAATCCACCAGAGAAAAAAAAATCATTCCTTTTATAGTTGTTTGTGGGACATTGCTGTGTGCAAATTGGCTACCATGTACACAAACACCACACTTTAGTAGGACTGTGAGGGACTTTGAAACATCCTTCCGATGTGAAAAGTGCCTCTTTATATCAAACACAAAGATTATTTTATTTTTTATTGTTACATGCACTAGACAATCACTATTCAAACTGTTGAAATAAACAAATTGCTCCAAAATATAAGATTAGCGGTTTTAATTTTCCTTTTTTTCTCTCTTTCAACATCACATTTTCATCTTAGCAAAATGAAATATCTTAATTTTCATTCTTAAAGCACAGTGTAACAACAGGTTTCTGTTTAACACTTCTGTGTTTCACTGCACAGTAAAGGCAAAACAAAGTGAGTGTCATTTGGCTACAAGGGAACTAAAGCTTAGGCTGTATTTTTATGATTTTTTTTCAGTATCTAAGAAACAGGCATATTTTTCTCCCCATCGCTGATCATTTCAGAAATTAGATTTTGATTCAGAATATTAAAGCGAACAAAATCAGAGGAATGGAGTTTTCTATAACATGCCAAGAAAAATTCAAACAGCTAATCTTGTACTTTGCAAAAAAAGAACAGTAGAAAGCACATAAACATCCAGCCTGCGCTGGGGTAACTGAGCCCAACAGACACGTTAGGGACATTCCAACTGACCAAAGCGCTCTTGGGGGTAACGTTAATCATCCTGCATTGCAGCTCCAGACTATTATCAATTCATCTCTGCCAGAAGGTGCAAATGCAGACATTGGCTCAAGACAGGAAAAGGGTTAGCTATGACTTTCTCCCTCCACTTTACAATATATTCTAAATTGTCAATACATTTCTCTTGACATTTTAGGACTATTTTTGCAGTGGTTTATTCCAGAAGCTTTATTGCATTCACCTTTGATTTGTTACTTAAGGTTAATCATATTACTGAGGGATATTAATTATGATTTATGGAGTTAAATTATCAATTTTTATATTATTTATCAACAATAATTTAATTTATTGGAGTCCTGTAGCTCCGTTGTTAGAGCACACTCCTCACAGGCGGGAGACCTGGGTTCGATTCCCAATAGGGCAAAACCTTGGGCAAGTTTCTGTACTCCACATGCCTGATAATAATCCCTTAAAATAAAAATTTGGTCACTCAATCCACGACTGTTTGTGTGACACTGCTGTGCGCAATTGGCTGCCGCGTTTTGCCCACAAATATACAGTCAATTCATTTCACAGTATATTCTGTGAAGCACTTTGAGAAGTCTAGAAGACATGAAAAGTGCTTTATCAAATGCAAGGATTATTATTCTGTGAAGCACTTGAGACTTCTCAATGTCATAAGGCGCTATATTAAGCAAGGATTATTTTTATTTTTCAATGACCAGTTTAGACTCACACTTGACCAATGTACGAGAGTGCTGTGGGACTATTCCCAGTATGAGCCAGGGCCTTAGGGAGTGGAGAGAATATTGGAATGGAAATCTTGTAAACTAGTTTTCTTAAAAGAAAAATTGATAGAGATTAAGCAGAGCATTTTGGATTTGCTGCTTTACTCTCTCACTCAAAAATAAAATCTAGAAGCGTGTCTAATTTATTGTCCATCCCAGTTTAGGTGAATAAACTAGACAAATATACATAACAGTGCACTTTAATCGCATTTATAATGTTTTCAACTGGGTTTCAGTTCGTCACTTAGTTAATTTACAAATTGGTGCAGATGCTGCACTAAAGCTTTAAATAGCAACGAACAGTATTACAATTCAGCTTGTTACATACTGTATAATAGAAGGAAACTCAGCAACACAACCGACAGCAGAATCAAGTACTTCAACCCCTTCATGTCACAAGCTATCTGTTCATTAACTGACTATTTTACCACAGATATCCACTCAAATATCTCTCCGAGGTTAAACAGAATCACATGTGGGGACAATTGCATTCTTCCTCAAAAGAGATTCAAGCATTTACAAATATGCAGGGACGTCATCGTGATCTGCAGCAAACTGACCACATGCTGAGCTTTTTCAATAAGGCATTCATCTTCCAAAGTACGGCCTGTGAGCCCTTCATTTCTTTAAGAGCTGAGATTTTGCTCGGTTTATTTTCTCCAGAATTAACCGATCGGTGACTGGTGTACACTTCAACAGAATCATGTTCAGCTCGTTCTCATTCTTGCGTTCAGTGGCTGTTTCCACAGCTTGATCCAGGTCTCTGCAGCAAGACAGATGAAAGGGAACATAAACAACTTTGTCTCAAGACTGCCCACCCCCAGCTTAGGTTCCTAGCTGGCACTGTCAAGTGTTTTGAGACATCCTCCCGACACGAAAAGAGCTATATAAACTCTCCGTGTCACTATCTGGATGAAGGGCGCTTTATAAATGCAAGCTGTTGTGGAAGTGTAAATTATATTGCACAGGATTTAATACAATGATACAGCAATTTGGAGTGGTTAAGGAGATCTCAGAACATGCACACATATGCAACTAAGCACATCTGCAACCTCATAGAGGTATTTAAAATTATAAAACGGTTCAATATGGCAAACAAATAAATCGTTCCCACTTCTTGGTGAGTCAATAACAAGATGCCATTAATATATGATAGCTACTAAGAGATCTAATAGAGAGTTTAATTAGACAGAAAATGTGGAATTCACCGCCAGTAGCCGTGATTGAAACAGAAGGCATGAACGCATTTAATGACAACTTGCATTTATGAAGTACCCTTTAAAGCAAACAAGAAAGTGGTATGTGACGAGGGGGATAAGGATGGGTGGAGGCTCAGATGGAGCATCAGTATGGACTAGTATGAAAATGGTCAGTTTCAGTGCAGTAGATTGTCCCTCTCTTTATCTCTCCATCTTATCTACCCAAGAACATGCGCAAAGCTCTGGTTATTAGCAGAATTGTGATGCAAAGCATCTTACAATTGCATCAACATCATATTAATATTTCTGAGGATTATAACAAACATTTTTGTACTTACCCAACCATTATAAAGGCTTTTACTTTCTGTTCTGGGCTGACCTTTGTTACGTATTTTTTAGCCTCATACTTGTTATGATGTTTGACACAAATTTCAACAAAAGGCTGGCAAATGAAAACAAAAGGACATTTTAAAATTTATGGGTAAACAGTCATCAGAGCAATTATAGACAGATTTAAATATTTAAAAAGCAACACACGTCAGATGATTTTCAGGTCCATTGAGCTCGTACCATGTATCCTACTGGTGACTTTTTACTTTTAGAAAATTTTTCGAGTTCTTCCCAGTCCTGCTTCTCTGCCAATGCAGAGATCTTCAGCCACCAAAACCTGTGGGTCACAGAAACCACTGTTACCTTAAATAACAAATTACATATGTATAGCACCGTTCATGTCAGGAGGATAACTCATAAGCAATTATGAAACACATCTTGAACTACAGTAAAACTCACATAAGTTGTATCAGTTGGGACCATAACATTTAATATGATTTACGCAAAGTCCGAGTTACAGGCAAAATGCATAAGTCATAAAATCCAATTTAATCAATAATCTACACTGCACGCATGTAATTCAATGTAGCCGGTAAGTATGCTTGCGGTAGTTCGTCATCGCAGACAGTAAGTGGGCGTGGGTCGACAGGTCAGGACCTCTTTTTACCAGATTTATTGTAGCCGGTAAGTGCGGGAGTAAAGGAGAGTAGGGGAGTGGTGTTACGAGTTAGGAGGTCAACAATAAGAATAGTACACAGACTCCGAGTGGTTTTGATACAAAACTGAATGGAACTCGGGTGAATGTATGACTTCGATGATTATACAGTGTATAAAGATAAGAGTTCTCCAAGTTTTATTGCATTCCCACTGTTGACACAAGGGGTCAGAACAATCAAAGGAACGGACAAGGAGATTTCCCAGGGTAGGGGAGTTCGAACATTTTGAAGACTGACGAGTCTTGCTACACCACATGCTGACAGTCAATAAGGTGCAACCTGCCAACTCATGCATTTTACATCTATTGCAGTATAGTAAAGTTTTCAGCCTTAAAATATCCAGATCTGTAAATGATGTTACTTAGCTGCAAGGGAATGTGCCCAAACTAGTATTGTGTACAATCTCCAGCCCCATTCCTAATTTAAAATACAATCTGTAAGCAAGGCTTACAGTACCTTTCTTTCCATTCTGTCATCAACAGAGACCTGATTTTACCTTTTGTCAGGAATCTTAAAATCTTTGTAAAGTTGTTCTGCTTGTTTGAGTTTGCTGTCCAGCAGGAGATTGTAGACAGTGTCATGTAAGGAGTAATCCAGATAGGTTTTACCAGTGTCCTTTTGCATACGACTTTGGTATCGCAGCAACTTAATCTGCTCCTCCGTGACCTAGACATCAAGAACAGGGTAAAAGATAATGATAGTTATCTAAAGGGCTGCTACGCTATTTATAGAATGCCTCTTCCCTACACAATTCAGTCTAAAAAAGTTAAGTGCAAAACATGATACAAAGCACAAGGTTCCATGAGAATGTGGAATTGAAAACAGGAGATTTTGGATGGGTTGCCTGTATGGGTTGAAGGCTGCAGCTCTTCCCTGGGGCATTCTGATACATGGCACATTGTTTTGGCCTCCATGGCCAAAAAGCCTGCTCAGGTGAGCTGCCACTCTCTGTGCAGGCTCACAAATGAAGAGAAGTCATGTTAGCTAGATCGCTAATGGCTATAGGAGATAGCACTCTAAGCAACCGCAAGCCCCTTTGCTCGACAGTGGCTCTCAATCACAAGTTGTGCAATTTCAGCTGATTAAACTCCAGCAGTTATCCAAACACACACTCTGCAATCCTTAAGACTTGGAATTAGGTAAGCAGAGACTGTTCCTCCAGGGAAAGTGTGAATTACATTCCAGACATGAGGAAATTTCCAGGCATACGTGGACCACTCAGTCTGGTTGAGATACTTATCAGCGTCGTGATGGATTTCCATGCGCGTCAGACACCCAACTGACTCAAAACAAAATGACAACACAATGAGCAGACTTCCAAGAACAGCCTGGTTTCTCAGAAGGATCCCTGTTTCGATATTCTTTCCCATTAGATCCTGAAAATTGTCTAGCAAATCACTTTTTTTAATGTAACATTCCAGAGGACAAACAAAGAAAGAGCCTGAGGGGTGAAGCTCGACAAGTTCACACTCGCTGTGAGACATGAAGCACTGCAGGAGAGAAGTCCAACATTAAACCTACTTGATCTGAAGTTATTCACATTTTCTTTAAAACTGTACTGCAAGCATATTCTGCTTCAAAGCTTCCCATTCGGGTTAGTTTGTGTCAATCTGTTCTTATTTGTTACTCCCTCCCAAGTCTAAAGACATCTGCCACATCCTTTCACTGAGCTGCAAGGTGCAGATAAAGCTGTACATCATCCTCCGTTACACAACACATAGGTTGAAGGCATTGTAACCCTGTAAGCTGCACTGTACTTTTTAAATTAAAGTCCAAAATTAAATTAATAATACTTGCATTTGATATAGCACCTTATCAAGTCGTTGAGACGTCTCAAAGCGCTTCACAGTACATCCTGTAAAGTGAATTGACTGTACTTTTTGTGGGCGAACACAGCAACCGATTGTTCACAGCAGTGTCCCACCAACAGTCGTGAATTGAATGACCAAATTATTATTATTTTTGAAGGGATTATTACCCCCGAAATGCAATCCGCCAATTGACTAACAACCGGGTACCTATTTACTGCTAGGTAAACAAAGGAGTGTGGAGCAAAGAAACTTGCCTTGGGTTTCACCTTGCCCAAGAATCAAACTCCTCGCTTGTGAGTGAAATGCTGTACCCAATACCCTACAGGACTCCACAATTTACTTCTAACCAAAACATTTTTTTTGGTTTACTCTTAACCAAAATCTTTTGTTTAAAAAAAAGCTGAACCCCGCCCTGTCCCCTTCATATCATACCCAAATATTAGGGTCATATGGTATAAAATGTTTATATCTTGAAAGGTGCAGTAAACTTATAGGAATTAAAGATCACATCAGAATCACATACAACAGCTGAATCCACAAAGTCACATGCAAAGTCTCTGCCTTTAGTGAAACACTGAAGGCTCACATTGGGCTGGACAAGCGGATTGATCTCAGTTGAGACAGCAGCAGGGGGGACTCAAGTACCTTCAGTGCCTTGAGCTAGATGGGGGAAAGAGGGGGGGAAAAAATCAATCAGGTTTCCAGCTCCTGATAATTATCCAGTGCTCACTGCTAAAAAAAAGTGCATACGACTGAACACAACTAAGGCACACACATTCGTATAACCTACAGATGTTCACTGCCTGGAGTCACTCACATATGAAGACTTGTTGTTGGAGAGGTGCTAGGGGTGGTTGACACATGAATCAGTCCTTTCAGGAGAGGAGGGAAGCAAATTGGAAGGAGGGGGAGAAAAGTTGAACAGGACAGACAGGCTACAACTGTCTTTTTGAGGTCAGCAAAAATTACACTGCCACAAATTGAATCACAAACAATACTAAATCCCATCCAGCAGCTGCAAACATTTTTGTGGATGTGCTGAGATTTTTTTTTATTTCTAAGCGTTTTATCAGCTACACATAAGAAACGATGACAAAGATATGATGGGATCAAGTACCCCTACTGGACAGAAAATCGACAACATATGGGAGATACCGGTACCTTGCAGTAAAAACAGTCGTTCTACACGTACCTTGGCAGCGAATTCGTTTTTGGCTTTGTTGTATTCATCTACAGCATTCTGCAAAGCTGCTACTCTTCCCTCTATGGTCTGTGAAAAACAAAGGTGGTGAGAAACAACAACAAATTCCATTTATAGAGCGCCTTTCATGTAGGGAGGACGTCCCAAGCACTGGACTGTCAGAGGTCGGGACCCGAGCATGGGGGAGGGGTGGGGTAGGGGTGAGAGAAGATAGGGATTCGGGAGAGCGACCAAAGGCATGATCGAAAAGAAGGTTCTTGAGACTGGACTTGAAGGAGGCAGGGGAGGAAGCGAGGCGAATGGGATGGAGTTCCAGAGTGTGGGGGCAGAGAGGCTGAAAGCCTGGCCACCGATGGTAGGGCGGGTCGGGAGGGAGACATGGAGCAGACCAGAACTCGCTGACGGAGGGAGCGGGCAGGTTGGTAGGGAATCAGCTGGTCAGAGAGGTAGGAGGGGGCAAGGCCATGGATGGCCTTGAAAGTGAGGACAAGGATTGTGAATTCTCGAAGTGCATCATTTAATATTTATTCCCAAGTAAGCTCACTGCTGTGCTTCTTGTGGCTCTAACATATGAAGCAGGAACATCTATCCTGCAGACCTATATTTCTGCTTGGGCAATCTCAACCCAATCAATTTGAATTGAAGAAAGGGGATTAAACTAGACAATTCAGTCTGGAGTTTGCATAGGAGAGACCGTTCAATGTAGTTTGCACAGCACTAATTCCCAACGATTAGTACAAATAAAGAAAACTGTGACAAGGAGTTACACAGGTAATGTTACAAAGCAAAGACACCAGGGAAAACTTGCATCTGAACAATGAATGGACTTCAATAGTAATCCTTACATTTAGTGTAACGCCTTTTACGTTAGGACGATGTTCCAAAACCTTCCACAGGATATGCTGTAAAGTACAGCGACTACGTTTTGTGGGTGAATGCTTTAAGGTACATTTTATTACTTGGTGGGAGATGGGGAGGGAAGGAGCATCTTTGTGTTCAGTACTTATGTTTAATACTGTAAACATAGCAACATTTAAAAGAATTCCAGCAGATTTTAGTTAATGAGGTTACCATTGCGTTTGCCTTAATTTTCTTTAATCTCACCCGCTTGGACGTCACTGTTACATGTCGGAGACAGAGTGTGCAGTTAATCCATCTTTTTCAGTCCATCTTTAAGACAGATCTCAAAAACTGACGTGGGCAAGTTAAAAGTTGTGTTAATTTTGTCCATTGAGGGTCGGATTTACAAACTGTGACGCAGTCAGAGGCCATGCTTGGGCTCCTACCGTTTCATTGGAATAACTGGAATACACGCGAAAATTTCCAAGTTCCTGGTGATTGTCGTCCTGGTTGAACAAATCTTGGAGCGTCTCTGGTTCCTGGTGCTTACAGAACTGTGTGCAAATACAATATTCACTAGTCAAAGGATTTTCTCAAAAGCTTCTACTATCATAGGTACTCAATAGTTATGTGCATTTCATCGCCAAAAGACAAACACACATCACAGCAATGTGATGACTAAAATCTTTGTTGAAGCATTAATGGTCTGATATTGACAGTGAAAACAATTTAGGATTTTATTACTTAGTAAAACTCTGCAGATTCAGCACTTTCTATGGCATTGCTCAGCACTAGCTGATTGCAAAGTGCATCATTTAATATTTATTCCCAAGTAAGCTCACGGCTGTGCCTCTTGAGCTCTAACATATGAAGCAGGAACCATCTATCCTGTGGACCTATATTTCCGCTTGGGCAATCTCAACCCAATCCTTGTGTTCGCTGTTCTAATGCACAGACTTCCAATTCCTAAGCAACTGCACTGAGAGAGACTGGAACAGAGACTGGTGGGGGAAATGAAACATTCAGGGGATGCACTTCTGACATTGGGTGGAAGAGCAGAGGGAGCTGTACCAGGCTTCTGTTTCTAGCCTAGACACTGGGTATTAAAGAGTAGAAAAATGGATGTGCTTCACTTTGAACAAACTTATTTTTTTTTAAGTTTCACTTGTCACACAGAAATGCTGGTATGCATGTAAAATGTAAACAAAAGAAATGTAAACCTTATATTTATTCTTATACCTGTCGGTAAAGGCTCAGGGCAACTGGTTGGTTCTGCAAAGTCATAAAGAAATCTCCTCTGCTCATCTCATTCTTTAGATGCATTACAACGGTGTACACTGAAATAGAAAGAATGGCTTCAGAACCGAAAGAACCAGACACGTTTTGTTAAAGATTTGTTTTAACGCTTTTCACAGTATAATTCAGTTTAGAAAATCATTTAGTTTGCAAAAACTATGTTATTAGCACGAAGAAAGGTTCAGAAATGTTAACTGCTGCCTCCACGTGAATCTGAAGTTCTTCCTGGGGACTGCTATAGATTTTACATTTGATCTAAATTCTGTACATTTTCCTGATGGTATTTAGCTCATGCTAAATTTGGGACACACTAAATCTCATTATATTATAATCAGAAACAGCCCTTCTACAATTTATGTTGCAAAAGAATACTGAAAGAAGGAGCTCGATTTTTCCCAAAACGAAAGGTGATCCAAGTTAAGAGACTATAATTTTGTTTTCTCCCAAAACAGTGCAAAAGATCAACTGTCCAATCTCTCGCATTCAAAATGAAAGGACTCATAAGATTAATAATCCAGACAACTAGGCTGATGTGCTCTCCACCCCAATTTAGTTTACTGAACTGAATTGGGGTGGAGATTTGTGGGGAGGATGTTCCTTGGGACATCCTCCCGACATGAAAGGTGCTTTACAAATGTTGTGTTGTATGCTCTTCCCTCCTATTTCTAGATTGTTTCCTCCAACCCCATCCCAAATTTGGGTCGTAAACATTACATTACTGGCCTGTTAAATAAACATAGGCATCTTGCCAGGATAAAGGGCTTCCCCTCCATCCCACCCAATCGCAAGACTGATAACTCGCAAAAGCCATCAGCAGTCAAAGTTCAAGGCACCATTCTCGCTTTTCCATGCACGGTCACATTACCTAAGTCAGTGTCTCCACTTTCTATAGCTTTATGTAATGCCAGATTACTTCTTTTCATCTTCAGCAGCAAAGGGACTTGTTCGCCAGACCTTGGCTCGTACTCTAAAAGCTGGGAGGGAGGTTTTAAAATTTTATGAAGAATAATTGAAACGTTTTCAATAATTTTTCAAACACTGCTGCCTTGGCTTTCAACAACACAGATGATGAGCTTTGTACAGTTTAATAATTCCTTCCATTTGGTATAGCGCGTTTCATACGAGGACATCGACTCAAATGGCTTCACAGAATAGACTGTGTCATTTTGTAGGTGAACATCAAGTCAATAAAAACATCCAAAACACAGCCCCAGTTCAGAAACATTAATGCATAATAATAATCCTTGCATTACACATCATTGAGACTTCTCAAAGCGAGGCACAGAATATACTGTGAAGTGGATTGACTGTATTTTATTGGCGAAACGTGCTAGCTAATTGTGCACAGCAGTGTCCCACAAATGGTGACCACATTTTTTTTTGAGGGATTATTACCTCAAATAAAATTCAGCATAGTTAAAAAATTCAAGTGATTACCAAATGACTTATCTAAGCTATCAGGTGGAGGCCTTCTCTGGATTCTTGAGGTGGGGGGGGGGGAGAAAAAAAAATCACCAAACATCTATTTGGATATTAAAAAGATATAACGGGTCTTTAACATTATTCATTTATTCCTTTTAATGTGCAGTGGAATGAAACAGATTTTAAAAAAGTCAATGAAATCTAAGCTACTCAATGAAAAGTGTACTTGAAGGATCAAACACATCTCAGGCTTCAAGGGTACAAATAAACCACCTGCAGCTCTTCTCTCAGTCATTTGAAACCTTCAAAGTGTTCAAACCCTTTAGCACACTCCAGCTTATATCTCATCCTATACATCATAGTCCAATTAAAATTGGAGCAACTCCCTTGCTTGTTAATGCTCCCATCATGTATTCAACAAATTAAAGCCTGACAAGATGGGACTTGCCAAATATCAGTTCTTCTGACATTCCAGACAAGATGTTCTCCACACATGGAGCGACTACTAAATACACCTGATTATATCTTGGTGCATCTACCTTGGATACTTATGTTGGTTCGAACTCTAAAGAAACAATATCTCCATCACTCAGCGTACTTCATTTACACATAAAACATCTCAAAACATAGGAGGAATAGCTTAATAATAATCTTTCCATTTGTTATAGGCCGTTCATGTGAGGAGGAAACAACCTCAAACCTTCAGAGGTGAAACTCAGTCTCCAACTTCCAGGAAGGACTAAATCGTTGGGTGGGGGAATAGACCAAGTATAAAGGTGCAATGTTGCTTACTGAGGCAATCCACTCGCCTCGACTATCAGCCACACTCTGCTGCAATTATTACTACCAAAAAGCAGCATATGTGGTTTATTCATTTCTATTATTGGGATAGTACCAACAGATGACAGATACCAGAAAGTGTTTCTTTGCCCTGAGGGTAATTAACAATTGGAACCGGTTGCCAGGTAGGGTGGTTGGGACCAGACCAGGACACTAAACTCATTTAAAAAGTAGTTTGATGCTGTGATTGGGGGAAGGGTAGAGTGGGCTTTTTGAAAGGGCTGAAGGGCTTTCTTCATCCAAACTAACCTTATGATTTTACTCTCTCGATTCATCAATAGTTGTACGTTTCATCTTTCCCTTTCATCACCTTCTCTCTCGATAGCATGGACTCTTGCTCCCAATCAGATTCCACAGATGCCAGTTGAGCTCCAGGAACTTGTTCAATTGGTTATCTTCCAGCAGGAGCCCTTGCAGGTAGCATTGACAGGCTATTTGACTGTAGTGGATATCACCCAAACCTACCCTGTGTACTTTCCAGCAGTCGTTCACTAGATGCCTTTCAGGAAGAGGAATCTTGGCTAATCTTTCACTTGGATCAATTTGTAACACCACCGTGGAAATCATTTAACTCAGCAAAGACCAGGAATTGAACCTGCAACCCTCTGCTCCGTGTGGCTAAAGATACCAGCCAGTGCTTATACCCACTGGACCATCATGGAAACCCCCTGTTCTTTCACAAGAAAACACGACATTGTTTCAGTTTATCAGAATGCAAATGAGCCATGAAGTCACATTAGTCAGTTGGATTCAATTGGCAAAATATTAGCACGATACATATTCCAATTACCAAACCAATTTACACTAAATGAAGATCAGAAAAGTTAAGTTTGAGTTACTTTTATTGCCAGCTCCGTTCTGCCACAATCGTAAGCTCTGGCAGCAATTTCGGAATAGGAAATCCCTGGAGTGTCCCCCAGTTTGTCGTTGATCACACGAGCAATGCTGTCATCAGGCTCCTCTTTCTGCTGCACCTGCAGAGCCACAGAACACAGCAAGTGAAGTGGGATTGAGTGTTATGGGAGTGTAGGAACACAACAACATCATTATATTTGTATAGCATCTTTCCCGTCAGGAGGACGTAGCAAAGCGCTGGACAGTCAGAGTTTTGGACCCAAGCTGGGGGTAGAGGGACTGTGGGATGGAGTTCCAGGGGGTGGGGACAGAGTGGCAGAAGGCCCACTGGCCAATGGTGAGGTGGGCAAGGCGGGGGACGTGAAGCAGGCCGGAGCCCACTGAGCGGAGGGAGCAGGCAGGATGGTAGGGTTAGGAGGTCGCAGAGGTAGGGGGGTGCAGAAAGTGGTCTCTTTTCGGCAATTGGATCACATTGAGAGGCTAGAAAACAGAATTAGAAGTAAGTGAACATTGAGGTGAAGAGTTTTGTGCCAAACTAATGCAATGACACCTTTAGAGCCACCAACTCTTGAACCTGGCGAATGAATAAATGAATTCCAGTTTCGAATGTCGAACATTAGAAATTGGCTGAAAATTTAACACTTTGATGCAGAGTTGCTGCTTTAGAACAAATGTTTTAGGTGTAAGGATGGTACTGAACAATGCAAAAAATGTTCCCATTTCAAAAGGAAGGTTTGCAAGGTTTACATCTGTTATGTGCTGTCCAGATTTGTAAATGAAGAGCCACTTGGACAAGGTAGGGACATTACTGGCATTCTCAGAGCTGCAGCCCAGCATGTGTCTCCGATGTAGAGAGAACGGTGGGGGTGGTGAGATGTGGGAGAAATTCAGTGCCACTTTTGGGAAAGGAAGGTTAAGAAAAGAAACGTTTCAACTGTGATCAAAGTTAAGAAAGTTGATAATAGAGATGGCTGAAATATGAAATATTTGACCAAGGGAGAGGGAAATTAAAAGATTAAAAGTTACCTTGTAGCAGGCCCAATGTGCCAAAATCCGACTTGCGCCCTTGAATTCCGATATTTTCATGTACTCGCAAATCTTTATAGAAAGAGGGTAAAGTCTACGCAAAACTAGTCTGTGGAGAAAAACAAATGTATGCGCACAACATGCAAATATTTTTCTGGCTGAAGCTGAAATACATTCATAGTCTGGATCAAATATAAGCTATAGTTTTCAAATGGCCTTTATTGACTTGTTATTTTGTGGGTGTTTGTGGGAAGTTGCTGCAAGCAACTGACTGCCGCATTTCGCCCCACAAAATGCAAACACTACACATCTTGTAAAACGCTTTGAGAAGTCTCTCAATGTGACAGGGCGCTATATCAAATGCATTATTTGCCACTGAATAAAATAACAACAACTTGGATTTATATAGCGCCCTCCATGCCAGATGGCGTCTCAGAGCGCTTCACAGTAACGGATCCCGAGGCCGAGCCAGGGGGAGGGGGAGGAAGGTGACCAAAGGCGCTGTCAAAAAAGTCTTCATAATAATAATCCTTGCGTTTGATACAACTGCTTCAGGTGCCTCAAGAGGGTGTGTCAAAGAGCTTTGCAGGATTCACTGTAAAGTATAGTGACAATGTGTTTTTGTATGCAAATGGTGGCATATTGCCCACTACATTCAATGCAACGGCACGACCAAAAGTACATTATGTACAATATTGTACTGTGACTCACTGATAAAACACATGGACCAAACCAACGTACATCTGTGTACAATTAGGCCCCTGATAGATTTCTGATCAGTAGCTGGGCTACAGGGGAGGCACCTCCATATCAGGAGGTTGACCAAATCTGCCTACATTTTTTCAGGGCCGCTATTATTGCTGACAATCAGCTAAAAATAGGCGGAGGGAAATCAAAAGGGCTGATTGCTCCCCACCTGCCCTTTCAGGCCAGAGCACGATCTCTTATTTTGGCTGTTTTGAAGTGTTTCCTTATGTATAAAAAAAATTGTAGATACAGAAATGTCCTCAGATTACCTGTCAATCAGAACCTCCATGGTGATCTGTTGGTATCTGAGTTTCCAAGTCAAAGTTAAACTTGAAAAGAATCAACATCGGTAAGATGTCAGGATGTACAGTAGACTCACCATGTAGATAAAAACAGAAGCTGTGGTAAGCCAGCACACAATACAGATTGTAACATTATAGGAACCCTCATGATATGAAACACAGGCAATTCTGTAATCGTAGTCAGTGTTTTGTTAATTACATAATGAAAGGCAGCTGCAATTCAAACATGACATAGCGTTAACTCAAACTTCAAGTTAGACACTCAATACCACCCCAGCCTCAGGTGACACAGAAAGGATACTGGGGATAGCTGAGAGGGATGCCAATGGTACTGTCTCGAATGGCATTCAACACCCGCAGATCTCTGCTCATCCTCACAAACATGTCCGGTGGAAAGTTGCTTATGAAGCACTTACCAAAAGAGGCCGCCTACAAACCAAACAAAGTGAACGTCAATGGTGGCAATGCCTGCTGCACATCACAATCCCTTCATCACACTGCTATTTCACCCTGCCCTTGTCCAATTAAAGAAATGCATGACAGAAATTTAGTTCACCAACACCATAAGAAGGTGTGGCTGGCAGCTTTTGAAGCCTCAATACAGTGAGCTGTTAAACCTTACAATACTGCAAGTGCTATGACTATCCGCAAGATGATGGAATCTGGTGTTCTCTCGGTTGTCAAGTTTCTGCAGTATTCCAGGTCACTGCTGATGACAAACCAGCCAGCCTGGCTCATTGGCAAGACTGGGGTCACGGATTCTTCCCACTCAACTCTACAAGCCAGAGCCTTACTGAGTAGCATGGTCCTAGCAGACAAGCAATGGGAAGCTCACCAGACATTGCCTTCAATGACAATCTATGCAGGTATAGCTGGTTAAGATCCAGCAGTACACCAATGCACACTCTGGGATCCCTAAACCTGGAGTCTCGCTAATCTGTGCCTAATTCTCTCTGTGAGTAAGTAAGCAGAGGGCATCCCTTCTGGGAGAAAGTGTTCATGCCAATCCAGACACATGTGTAGGTGGCACATGCAGGTGGAATGCTTCGTCGTAAAACATGGTGATGGGTTTCCATGTGTCCGACACCCTGCTGACTTAAAAAAAGGTTTCACTTCCTCCTACAGCAATGGAGCAATACAACAGGTTTATAATTGCTCACACGCAGTAGGAAAGTAGGCACTCTGTAACTTGTAACAACAGTTTTCAAATAGAAGGGAAGACTCAACCACTTTCATTACAACATACCTCCCCTTGCATATCCTAAACATCGGTCCTGACTCTGCCTATAGGTTGAGCTGATCTGGTACCACACACAATATCTTACAAAGCAAATGAAATGCCCTTTCACTTTGTGACACACACCACCTACTGGAAGGCAAACATCATCTCATCCTCACCCTCAGTAAAGTCTTCTGCATTTCTGGTTCGTACTCATGACCTGCTGCCTCAATACACTGCTGCACAGCCTCAAACAGCAGATTCTGGTCTTTTATCTCCCGCAAATACTCATCTGCCTTCTGGCTCTCTTTCTGCAAGAACCAAAAAAAACATTTATCAATCGAATAAAAGTTAATTACATCGCAAAGCAGCTTAAATTACCTGCCCATTCGAGTCTTAAGGAATTTTTCTGTGAGTGTGTCATTCTAGTTAATGAAGATAAATGGATGGATTTCCCTTTCAAAGAGCATTGACATGATTGAATGACCGGTCGTGCTGCAAATTTCTATGGTTCTGACTAGTTTTTAATGTTATATTTTAATATGACCTAAATACAATCAGGAGAAGACATGAAATATAAACGCTCTAAGGGAAGGTAACATGAACATCTACCTCATATTCTTTATGGGCTTCCAGCAAAAGTGCACCAGGTGCCATGGAGGCAATTTTGAATACATCTTGACATGCAGCTGAAACCAACAAGATACAGGAAAGTAGTCAGTGACCTGAGATGCTACAATCATCCGAGGTGGTTCTTGAAGAAAAAAAACTACAACGTGTATATTCAATTTCAGGATGACTAGCGAACTCAGAAAATTCCAATTTCTGGAGTTTTTTTTAAAAAAGAGTAAAAGAGTAAAATGGATGCTCATTGACTACAATGATTTCTTGTGTCATACAAACTCAGGCACTTAACAAAGCAAATCCTGAAAGCAAGAGTCCTGTGCTAATGGGAAGAAGGATCTAAAGGTTGAAAAACAAAGGTATCGTGCACATAAAGGAGAAACCACAGGCTAGTGAGAAAAAAAAATCTAGCAGATATTTTAAAAAGGAAATCTCACCTGCAAAAGAATCAAAAAGCTTGGATAATTCAAAATAATTTCCCAACATTACAGCAAAACACTTACTATAATATTTCTGCAAAAATATCGAATGACCCAGTGATGCTTACGTGGGACTTCGTGAAGAAATTCATGCCGAGAAGCACCGATGATTCGAACCCCATCAATCTCGGGCACTAAGTGGACTTCTTCATCCAAGTGAAACCTGAACTTCAGTCAAGAACTCAAAACATTTACAGCTCTTCACGGACAACAGGAAAGACAACTTTGTTTTTTTTTTAAAAAAAACTGTCAGCTGCCTACTTCTCAATAGCTAATTGTACAGGGCGTTTACAAAGTTACTCCCTTGCGCTTTTTTTCTTACAATTAACTTCTATTTTCTGTTGCAGTTGAGTGGACCAATGTCTGATGGCAATGGAAAATGTGTGTAGGGAATTTAAGGAACGGTTCCAAAAAGTGGCTCCCACCAAAAATGTTACGACACTTGCACTGAATACTACTTCTAAATACAATTATCGTCATTCTTCCACGTGTTTTAGTTTTTGGTCAGTGCATAGTACAAAAAACATGGGGGTAACAGGATTTTGTAAACACCCTGTAGGTCACTTATGAGCAAGTATGAGCCACGTACAACATTTTTATCCATTCACTTCTTTTCAGATTAAGTTTCCCCCCCCTCCACCTCCCTCCTCTTACTTTTAAATAACACGATTTTTCTTACTGCTATTCACCAAATTGGAAGGAATGTTCCAAATTAAGTACAAATTTTGCTCCCTCGTCTCTCCTCCAATTTTTTGCATTAGTTTCTCACCTTACCTCTTCTATATGCAGTGACTGAAGCTGGAGTACAATTCAGTGCTTCACTCCCTGCTCAAGTCCATTCAAGTGCCAGTAGGCTATCTGACTCCAGTAAAAGGATACTTTATTTTCTCCTTTGAACTTCCCACGACCAAAAGGAGTTTATCCCAGATTCCCACGACGCAAGGGTTGGTGCTTTTCGATCTGGTACACCTTGAAACAGATTCACAAAAGAAAACCATTACTAAAGCTAAACATTGTCTACAATTAATTACAATAATAATCCTTGCATTTGGTACAGTGGGAGGACATCTGAAAGTGATTCATAGGATTTACAGTGAAGTGGTATGACCTTATTTGTAGGTAAATGCAGCAGCACAATTGCGCACAGCAATGTCCCATAAACAACCACAAAACAAGTGATCAATTTTATTTGTCAACCCACTCATTGATGGCTCAATAAGTTTGTGGGTGTGTGTGTATATGGGGGGGGGGGGGGGGGGGAGGATGGAGAAGAGATTAAAAAAAAGTGGACAGGACACTGGGAGAGGTTCCTATTAACAGTGCCATGAGATCTTTAATGTCCATTTTTCACCACAAGATACAACCTTTATTTAACATCTTACCCAAAGAAGAGTATCTACAACAATGCAATGCTCCCTCAATAGTGAACTAGAGGGTCAACTTATGATCTCAATAGATTAGTGTGGAGCTCAAAGCAGACTCAGAATGCTCCAACACCTCTGACTGACCAAGTACTGCATAGAGCTGCTCAAATTAGCAATGTGCCACAAGCAAAAAGTGAATGACAATTTTTTTCATCATTATTTTTTTTAATCCAGACTTACCAAGCAAACTGCTTAGGCGGTATTCGATAATTTGTGTCGATCACAACCAACGAGTCCTGGAACAAAACAATGAGAATCAGCTAAGGACTTTTATTCCCCATTCTCAAGATAATGACAATCATCAGTACAATTAACGACAAAAACAATAAAAAAACAAAGCAACCAAACCCACAAAATAAACAAAACAGAGGCATACGTGAACAAAACTGATCAATAACTGTAATTACATTAATGCAACAACAAAATGCATAGTGTATTGATAATACCAGCAACATCATTATTCAGTGTTATTGCAGTGAATACCAGGGGTGGGATGAAGGTTAATTTGATAATATCTCCAGCACATTGCAAATAATTAGTATCAATGTCTGCTGACTTCCACCAACCCTACTTAAAACACAGCTTTTTTACCCCAGCTTTATGAACTAATTTGCAATCTTTGCAAAGGATGTGAAGTGCTGAACACGATTTCTGAAAAATGCCCCCAAAAGCGCAGGTGTACAAAAGGTCAGAGGAGAAACACAGCATCTCCTCACAGCCAGTGATTTCACTCTCTGGAAGGACTTTAGACGGCTTTTAAAAAATCGATGAACCCCCCCCCCCCACCCTGCTCACTCCCAAAACTTCTAAGGCCATCGAAGAGGTTCATTGTTTAGCTTTACTATAAATTTATCATCAAGCTTTACTCATTATTTGATCCCAAAAAGATACAAACTTAATTCAGCACGGTCACAAAAATGCTACAGCAATAAAAGCGTGTTTAGTGTTCATAGAATATTACAGCACAGAAGGAGGTAATTTGGCCTATTGTGCCTGTGTTGGTCTCACCTTTAGTGTCGATGGACCCATCCAAATGTTGCCATCGTCTGTGAATAAAGCCAGCCATTTATAATTGAATGAAACAGCAATTTGGGTAATTGCACAGACTTGTGGGCCCAGGTTTGGAGGAGTCTGCAACAGAAAAACAATCAACATTTCAAAATAAACTCATAACTTTCATCTTCTGCCTGATTAAGACCATGAGACAGGCAATGACTCACTCAGGCCCGTAACTCAGGCTGTCTATTAAGAAGTGCAGGTGTGGAACACTGATTTTCTCCTATCTTGTGGTTGGCAGCCTGCAACTTGCTCATTCGCAACTCCTTGGGAGTAAACCAGGCTGCAGGCATCACTCAAGGTTGACATTTGAGCCAGATTGTCTCAGCCAATTGCTCAACGTATTCACACACTGGACACACTAATCAAAACCACTTCAATTTATACTTTGCTTCAGTGAAATACCTATTATAGCCTTTCACGTCAGGCAGAATTTAAACTTACTACAGCTATGCAGGAAGCATTATCCAGTATGTATAAATCCTTTCCATTAGCCAGAATGATTCGGGTCTGTCGATCTTGCATCAGAACAACCCAACATGTCGGGGAGTCCTGGAGTCCTGTCAGAAGGAAAGTAAATTTTGTTTTGGTTATACCGCACGCAAACAAACACTGCACACTGAATCTGAATGCACCCGATCTGAAAGGCACTATCAAGTGCAAGGATTATTATTATTCAACATCAGAAATGAAAAATCTCTTGCACATTAAACCAGATATTTCCTCTAACGCATTGCAATTTCCTATTTCTTTTAACGCAATGTACCTTCCCCATTTACATTGTAAAAGAATATTGCTGACAGAGAAACGATAGCCCGTGCTGGACTCCCAAATTTACTGAATACTTGAGGAGCTTTTTAAAATGGGACCAAATTTAACATAGAAAAAGTGAAGTTAGAAAAACATTGCTAGAAATATCAACTTTTTCACCGGTGCAAACCCAAGTATTCGAATTGTCCATTTTACAGTCGACGACTCCAAAAGGTCTGACAATTTACACAATAACAATTCACCACAAGTCTATTGAAAGATCAAGCGCAACAATAGCTCGAAGCAGAAGTCACAGTTGGACTTCGCCACAATTCCAGCTTTTGCAGAAATACCATTCCATTACCGAAAGGATGCACAAAAGAAACAGTTCTCAGGAGTCCTGGAGCGTACTTGTTAGAGCACTCGCCTCGCAAGCGAGAGGAGCTGGGCTCGATTCCCAGGTGGGGCGAAACCTTAGGCAACTTTCTTTAATCCACATGCCTCTGTTTACCTAGCAGTAAGTAGGAACCCAGTTGTTAGTCGATTGAAGGATCGTTTTCTGAAGATAATAAGGCCTTCAAAAATAAACAATAATAATAACTTGGTCACTCAATTCATGACTGTTTGTGAGACACTGCTGTGCACAATTGGCTGCCTCGTTTCGTTCGCAAAATATACAGTCAATTCACTTTACAGTATATTCTGTGAGGTGCTTTGAGACTTCTTGATGATGGGATAAGGCGCTATATCAAAAACAAGGATTATTATTATTATAGTTAAATATTCAGTATTTTTACCTGGGATTTCAGGAAGTCGTCTAAGCTTGAGATCATCTATGTTTGTAGCACAAGTGAATCGAAAAGCACCAGTTAATATAGCAACTCCGGAGCCGTAAACAGAGTGGAACACCTTGGCCTCCACAACTCGATTCTGCAACACCTCCTGAAAAGCAAAGTATCAATAAATTAATTTCAAACAATAAACATTGCCAAATCATTCTTTCTCAAACATAGCATCAGAAGTCCTTGATAGTAAGATTAACATGGAAAACATGTATGGTCCGATTTGGGTAATGGGTAGCAGGGCTATGTCATGGTGAATCGATTCAACAAGTATACTTAACAAGTGCACTTCTTAGCAAGTCAACTAAACAGTGATTTAATCTCCAAGGAGCTCACACTGCCTATAAAAGGACAACACAATCAGCCCCAGCGCAGAAATGGAACAGCAGTGCACTCCCAACACCAGCAGTACCAGGCTACAGTAAGAAATGGTGCCTCACCCTATTCATTGTCTCCACTAAAAAAATTCACTTGAACTACTCTCATCAAGGTAAGGGATGTCAATGCTGATAAATGGAACACAGTTGGTACTCAATATCAGCATTAAGCTGTTTACGCCAGATAGAGCAAGTCACTTGTTCCGTCCGCTCTACTCTAAATACCATACATTAACTTCAACATCAGAGAGGTACCAGTTCAAATGCACCAGTGCATTTTATTTTCTGTTTGCCATATCAATCAACTATTGTACAGCCTGCAATTCTAAAATTGCCCTGTGAACTTTGGAACTGCATTGCAACTTTCCTAAATTAAACTCATTTCACACCTGTACAACTAGTAGTTAGACTTGCATCCCCATCCGTAAGAACTTAATTTGAAAACTCGTCCACAAGGGTGAAAGTGCACTAACCCCAATGGCTTTCAGAAGATTATATAATTTGCAACTTACATTGCCCATGCTGAAATGTCTCTTAAATGTACCAAATATATCGTAGATAAGAACGGTGCCATCATCTTGTATAAAGAGCAGATCTTCACTGGCAGTCCATCCAATGTGAACCACTAGGCCGCTTTTCCACTGGAGAGAAACATTACGCAGAAATAAGCAAGACTGGTTTCCTATTGACTACAGATGTTGCTTTCATTCAATAGGAACGGGGATCTGGGGGAATTAACAACATAAGATTACACTTGGATAATGCCTTTCACGTTGGGAGGACATCCCAAGGCGCTGGACAGTGTACAGCATTTCAGACCCGAGCTGGGGTCAGGGAGGGAGAAGGGAGGGGAAGGGAAGGGGGGGTGACTGATGGCGTGGTCGAAATGGAGGGTTTTGAGCGGGACTTGAAAGAGGCTAAGGAGGGGGCGAGGCGGAGTGATTGGGGGATGAAATTCCAGAGGTTGGGGGCAGAGTGGCTGAAGACTCTACCGCCAATGATGGGGCGGGTGGATTGGGGGACGTGGAGTAGGCCGGAGCCGGCTGAGCGGAGGGGAGGGCGGGTTGGTAGGGGGTTAGGAGGACACAGCGGTAGGGTGGGGCGAGGCCATGGAGGGCTTTGTAGGTGAGGACCAGGATCTTGAACTGGATCCTCTGAAGGATAGGGAGCCAATGGAGTCGGGCGAGAATGGGGGAGATGGGATCATGGAGTTTGGTGCAGGAGAGGGCATGGGCTGCAGAGTTCTGGATTATCTGCAACCTGTGGAGGGTGGAGTTGGGAATGCCGACAAGCATAGTCGAGCCTGGAGGTGATGAAGGCATGAACAAGAGTTTCAGCGGCCTGAGGGGTGAGGTAGTGGCGGAGTCGGGCGATGTTACGGAGGTGAGGGAAGGCAGAGTGGGTCATGGCTTTTATGTGGGGAAGAAGACAGTTGAAGGTCGAACAAGAAACTTAGGTTCCTGACTGGCTGGTGAGTTGAAGTGTGCAACCATGGAGGTTGATGCTGCCAGAGCCTGAGGTGCTGAGGCACTGGCGTGAGCTAATCAGGAGGGCCTCAGTCTTGTTCACATTCAACTGTAGGAAATTTGCCCTCATCCAGGACTTGATGTCCGACAGGCAGTCTGTCAGGACAGCAGTGGTCCTGGAGTTGATGGTGGAGGCAGAAAGATAGAGTTGGGTGTCATCCGCATACATATGGATTAAATACGTACTAAGCAATTCAGACAAGAACCAAAAGGTTTAGCAGCCTGACCTATTGTAATATTCTTGATTAGGTAATGTCCATTTATGATCAGCTAGTTATTAGTTTGTAATTATTGGCCGGCTACATCGTGGTCTGAGAGGAATGCAAACTTCTTTGCACTCTTTCACTTTTACCATAGTACTGGCCATGGAAATGTGTAACATTGTTTAAAACACAGAACCACCAACTCATGCAAATCTGGTTCAGCGCCACACAAGGTTATGCATTTTCTCATTGAGCCACGAGGGAATCTTTCAATTCTCATCCTTACCTTTGAGATTTTAATACTTTAAATAAATGCACATAAATATTGGTTTTGTATTAAAATGTTGGATATGGTTTGAGCACATACAGCAAAATAAAATGGATGCTGGATATTGCGGTCATTCATTTGAGATGCTGCCCTTTCCTTTGTACCCGAATCCACCGGCAGAACAATAAGTGTAGTAAATGACAGATTAGTATGCTTACTGGGAAAGAAGTTATCAGAGCTCCAGAGGAGGAGTAGATTTCCAAAACAGGCCGAAGACTTTGAGACCGTTCCTTCCGCATGGCATTCAGCATCAAAGCTGCAACGTTAATTAAATAACATTAATGACTGTTGCAGCCTATTAATACAAGCCACAGCCATCACTTCAGGATGGACAACTCCAATAAAAAGGCTGGCAAACGCAGAAAAGCAACACACTGTACAAAAGAGCATCTTACCGATTGGACCTCCGTATGGTGCAGCCGTGATCAGACAGTTACTAAAGTCCTCTCTCATCATCCACTTCACGGTGTACAGGTCAAACTTCCTTTATAGACAAGAAAATTGAGATTATTAAAATAGTAATAATGAAGCCTCAAATTCCAAAAAGGCAGCTCTAAATATCAGATCAAATGGTGGTTAGTGAAGGAATAAGTTCATATAAATTAGAAACATGGTGTAGAAGCACACTAAAATTTTAAGAGTGTGACGTTTCCAATACTTGCAGTGTTTTGGTACTAATAGTTTCTTGGAATTAATACACAACAATTTGTAATTATATAGCAACAACAAGCACTTATATAGTGCCCTCCACGCAGGATAGCATCTCAGAGCGCTTAACAATGGTGGAGCCTGACTCCGAGCCGGGGGTGGGGAGGGGGGGAGGTGGCCGTAAGCACGGTTGAAAAGGAAGGCTTTCAGGCGGGACTTGAAAAAGGGGAGAGAGGGGACAAGGCGGAGGGATTGAGGGAGAGTGTTCCACAGTTTCGGGGCATAGTAGCTAAAAGCGCGACCTCCAATGGCGGGGCCGAGGATGCGAAGGAGACCAGTCCAGTGGAGGCGGCGGGTGGTGGATTAGGGAGTGAGGAGGTCGGAGAGGTTGGGAAGTGCCAGGGAGTGAAGGGATTTCAATACAAGTGTGAGGACTTGAAGTCGATTTGTTCAGTGATGGGGAGCCAGCAGAGCCTGACCAGAACTGGCGAGATGTTTGGTCCGGGTCAGTATGCGGGCAGCAGAGTTCTGAATGAGCTGGATCTTTTGAATAGCGGAACTGGGGAGACCAGTGGGGAGTGCGTTGGAGTAATCCAAGTGGGAAGTGACAAACACATGCACAAGGGTTTCGGCTGCATTTGGGGTAAGGTACGGTTGGAGGCGAGCAATGTGGTGGAGGTGGAGGAAGGCAGTCCTGGTCAGGGACCAGATGTGGGGGAGGGAGGACAGTTGGGGGTCGAATTGGCTGCCTAGATTGCGCACTGGTTTGGTGAGTCTGAGGAAGAGCCCAGGGAGGTTGAGGAGTTTAGATTCACAGGAGTGAAGACCATGAATGAAGCCAAATTGTATGGCTTGAATCATGTCCGCATTCAGCTGCAGGAAGTTTGCACTCCTCCAGGCCCTGATGTCTGCCAGACAAGCTGATAGAACATCAGCGGACCTGGAGTCGATCCTGGAGGAAGCAAAGTAGATTTGTGTGTCACCTGCATACATGTGGAAGTTTACCCCGTATACCCCGGAGCATATAGATGAGGAAAAGAAGAGGGCCAAGGTTAGAGCCCTGGGGGACCCCGCAGGTAACCGGGCGGGGGCGGGAGGAGAATCCTTTTGCCGAGATGAAGTGGAAGCGGTTGGTTAAGTAGGACTCGAACCAGAACCTGAGGAGAGACTAATTGACCATGTCAGCCAGCAGGGGGAGAGAAGGGGGAGATGAGTGACCAGCAGCTGGGTGGGGAGGGGGTCAAAGCAGCAGGTGGTGAACTTCATGCGCAGGATTGTGATTGAGATGGAGGAGGGAGAAATGGGGACAAAGGAGCGTAAGGAGTGGCAGGAGCCATGGCGCAGGGAGGAGGCGGTATGGATGGTCTGTGTGGGGTGGAAGGGGACATGGGGAGGGGGGAGGATGATGCAGCCAAGCAGATATTTTCAATCTTTGAGCCGAAGAGTTCTAGGACCTCTTTGCACTTGGCGTTTGATGTGAGGATAGAGCGTGCAGAGAGGTGGTGATGGACAGTGGAAAACTGTTGGGTTGTTTTTGGCCTCCCTTTGGTATGAAAATCAGTCTTGGCCTGTGAAAGGAGAGGCAGTAGGTGTGGAGGTGCTTGAGGCACAGATGGCGGTTAATCGTGAGGCTGGATTTCTGCCATTTGTGCTCAAGCGTCCGGGTTTGGGTTTCAAGTGAGTGGAAATAACTATTGTACCAGGGGGAGCGGGTGGGTTTGGAAACAGCCCTGGATTTCAGGGGAGCTGGGAATTGAAGGTTGTGGAGAGACAGTCATTCAGCAGCTTGATGGCTGCATCAGGATCGCTGCGGGTGAAGGGCCAGAGGGAGAGGAGGTTCGAGGAAGAGAGGGCATTTGTGAGGGACTCAGGGGGGGTGGGTGGGGGGAAAGCTTTTTCCGAGGACGGAAAAAAATGGTGGCGGGCTTCTTGGAGGGAGGGGGATGCGGGAGGAGAGGGAGATGAGGAAGTGGTTCTAGATGTTCATGATGGACAAGTTGGAAATGTCTCACCATTCAGGTTGGCATCTCAGGTTGGATAGCGTCTCGGAGTGTTGCACAGTGGCGCAGTTGGACACCGAGCAAAGGAAAAGGGGGAGGTGACCATAGACACAGTCAAAGAGGTAGACTTCCAGGTGGGATTTAAAGATAAAGAGAGGGCGAGGAAGAGGAGGGATGGAAGCTGGAAGTTCGAGAGGTTAAGGAACAGTAGGGCCTGCAAATCTCCGTTGAAATAAGTTTGGTCAGGATTAAAGATCCCATGGTACTATTTGAAGAGAGAAGGAAGTTTCCCCAGTTTCTGGCCAACAATGCCCCAAATAACATTTGGTCATTCACTTCATGGCTATTTGTGGGTCATTGCTGTGCATAAATTGGCTGCGTATTTGCCCACAAATACACAGTCACTCCACCTCAAAGTAAATCCTGAAAAGCATAGTGGGACGTCCTCCTGACGTGAAAGGCGCTGTACCAAATTTAAGGATTATTATTATTACTACTAATATCAAAAGGGTGGCTCTATGACCGTCGCTCAGATCTTACCTACATTTGATCGGGGGTCAGGAAATGTGTGAATGGAATCACTCACTAATTCTTCTCTCCTCGCCTGCTACTCAAATTGACGTATGACTCCGCAAAATAGTTGGAAAATCTCCTAATATGCTGAGTGCCAACATTGCTTCTTTATACGAATTTACACTACAAGCACGATATTAATGCATACATTTGTTATAGCACCTACTATATCAAGAGGACGTCTCAAAGCGCTTCGCAAGATTTACGTAAATTGTAGTTACTGTATTTTATAAGCATATGCGACTGTCGAGTTGCGCACAGCAATGTGCCTCAAATCATTCTGAAGCGAATAACCGATTGCCAGCGGGAACAGCAGGAGAAACTCGTTTTTTTTAAAAATGACTTTAATGTCCATCTGAATAGGTAAACAGTTTAATGACTCATCCAAATGATGGCACCTCCAATAATGCTTTGGACCTCCAATAATGCTTTGGACCTCCAATAATGCTTTGGACCTCCAATAATGCTTTGGACCTCCAATAATGCTTTGGACCTCCAATAATGCTTTGGACCTCCAATAATGCTTTGGACCTCCCAGCACTGAGACTGGAAGCACCACTCACTAAATCACTCCCTCACTGAGCACAGCCCCTCACTCCCTCACTGAGACACTGGGAACAGCCCCTCACTCCTTCACTGAGACACTGGGAACAGCCCCTCACTCCTTCACTGAGGCACTGGGCACAGCCCCTCACTCCCTCACTGAGACACTGGGCACAGCCCCTCACTCACTCACTGAGGCACTGGGAACAGCCCCTCACTCCCTCATTGAGGCACTGGGAACAGCCCCTCACTCCCTCACTCACTGAGACACTGGGCACAGCCCCTCACTCCCTCCCTCACTGAGGCACGGGGCACAGCCCCTCACTCCCTCACTGAGGCACGGGGCACAGCCCCTCATTCCCTCACTGAGGCTCTGGGCACAGCCCCTCACTCCCTCACTGAGGCTCTGGGCACAGCCCCTCACTCCCTCACTGAGGCACTGGGCACAGCCCCTCACTCCCTCACTGAGGCACTGGGCACAGCCCCTCACTCCCTCACTGAGGCACTGGGCACAGCCCCTCACTCCCTCACTGAGGCACAGCCCCTCACTCCCTCCCTCACTGAGGCACTGGGCACAGCCCCTCACTCCCTCACTCACTGAGACACTGGGCACAGCCCCTCCCTCCCTCACTGAGACACTGGCACAGCCCCTCACTCCCTCCCTCACTGAGACACTGGGCACAGCCCCTCACTCCCTCACTGAGACACTGGGCACAGCCCCTCACTCACTCACTGGGCACAGCCCCTCACTCCCTCACTGAGACACTGGGCACAGCCCCTCACTGGGCACAGCCCCTCACTCCCTCACTGGGGCTCTGGGCACAGCCCCTCACTACCTCTCTCACTGGGGCTCTGGGAACAGCCCCTCACTGGGGCTCTGGGCACAGCCCCTCACTGGGGCTCTGGGCACAGCCCCTCACTCCCTCACTGGGCACAGCCCCTCACTCCCTCACTGAGGCACTGGGCACAGCCCCTCACTCCCTCACTGAGGCACAGCCCCTCACTCCCTCCCTCACTGAGGCACTGGGCACAGCCCCTCACTCCCTCCCTCACTGAGACACTGGGCACAGCCCCTCACTCCCTCCCTCACTGAGACACTGGGCACAGCCCCTCACTCCCTCCCTCACTGAGACACTGGGCACAGCCCCTCACTCCCTCCCTCACTGAGACACTGGGCACAGCCCCTCACTCCCTCTCACTGAGACACTGGGCACAGCCCCTCACTCCCTCCCTCACTGAGACACTGGGCACAGCCCCTCACTCCCTCTCACTGAGACACTGGGCACAGCCCCTCACTCCCTCCCTCACTGAGACACTGGGCACAGCCCCTCACTCCCTCACTGGGCACAGCCCCTCACTCCCTCCCTCACTGAGACACTGGGCACAGCCCCTCACTCCCTCACTGGGCACAGCCCCTCACTGGGGCTCTGGGCACAGCCCCTCACTGGCCGCTGGGGTGGGTGCGGCAGTGCAGTGCTGGGGACCAGTCACGGGATGACCCTGAGCTCAGGCCCAGTGAGGCCCTGAAGCCGCGGGGACCCGCCCGGCCACTGACCTGTAGAACACCTCCCCCAGAGGGTTCCAGTTCGCCGTCACGAACGCCATCCTCTCCTGCGGGGATTTGCGGTCAATTCCCTGTGATACCCCCAACAGAACTGCGGCCTTCGTGTTGCCGCTTCCAGAGACTGCGGCTTCATCGGCTGCGGCGGCGGCGGCCAAAGCGCCGCCTACCGGGCGGGCGGGCGCGGTGCGGCTCGGGGGGGGGGGGCGCTGGTCTGCCCGCCCTCCGGCAGCTGGTGATCAGCTTCGGGCGATGCTGATCATTGGGCTTCACAGGTGCTTTTTTTTGGGGGGGTCAAATGTTTGTGTTGCACTATAAAGACTGTGTTTGTTTCAGGGAGTTTACCAGCGCTGTACCTCTGTCAGAAACGTTGACCCTTTTGTAAACATTTTGGAAACTTCCTCCCGAGTTATTTCCTGTGATGTAAAGTGTATCCCATTTACTCTTTATGATATCCAAACCCGTTTTTTTGTTCAAAGGACAGGTAGTCTCTCTGCCTCGTTCACTTTCCCTGAGCAGCGAGTGACAATGATAATAATAATAATAATAATAATCCTCGCATTTGATATAGCGCTTTTCACGTCGGGAGGACGTCCCAAAGCGCTTCACAGAACACACTGTAAAGTGAATTGACTGTATATTTGTGGGCGAACGCGGCAGCCAATTGCGCACAGCAATGTCCCACAAACAGTCGTGGATTGAAAATGACCAATTTATTATTGTTTTTGGTTTTGGAGGGATTATTATTAGGCTCTGTGTGGAGTATCTGCTTCATACCACAGTTAGCAGGTCTTACACAAATTAAAAACCTTGATGAGACAATGCCGTTTGCATCTCACTCTTCACACCCGTTTTCAGTCTTTACCAGTCAGAGCTGGAGCAGTACCCACCAGTTAAGTGATGTGATATAATATGTCATTGCTCTCTGATCTTCTGCTAAGATTCTCCTTGACCTCCACAAATCATTAAGCTTATCCAGCCTCCACTTTGACTGGATAACTATTTCCTTACAAGTACTTAAATCAATCATTAATCCGTGGGTATAATAAACAAATTAATTATTTTATATATAGCTCCTCACCAATGTAGAAAACAGAGAATAACCTAAGCCCACTCATGTATGTTGTATGTTCTTTTGTGGAGGGGCATTTTGTTTTGCCCCTCTACATGAAGATTCTTTTCTTAAAATAAAAATACCAGTTTGATTGAAGATATCTTTTAATTTTACACAAATGTGAAATGGGTGGAGACTTTAAGACACATTTTGCATTTAACTCAAGGTTAGTGGGATTTAGAACCTTCATCTGCTTTTATCTGGCAGAATCTTCACATTAGAGACAGGGATACACAGAAAGGGACAGCACAGAAAATCTGTGCTGTCAACAGAGACTTGTGCTATAATACACTGTACAACAAAATTACAATATAAGGACACAAATACCTGTATTCTTTAAAAGACTTGCTATAATAGCTGCTACTAAAATATTAGCACTGAGATTTATCTACACAACTTTTCATATAAACAGAATGCTGAGATAAGACACATCAATGGGTTACACAATTAATAAAAACTTTCCCCTACCCCAACTTTAGCCAGTTTAGGAGAGAGAGTCTGGGGCACAGAACTGAGAATTGGCAAAACCTCCCAATCAGAGCAAGTGAGTTTAAAATAAAAAAAATAGGATTGAAACTGAAAACCCCTCAACTTTAAGGATGCAGTGTTTTAGGACAACTATCAGGCTACATAAAAATAATAAAACATATGAAAAGTAAAATTCAGAACATCCACTGTGAGCTATAAAATCTCAGTCAGCTAATTCAAGAAATATTTCTCCATGAAGTAACTTCAAAATTTCATACTAATTTGTTCTGCCATGAAGGGAAATCAGGACAATTTCATGCCCTGCCCCAGAGCCGCTCAGAACTATTTCAATAAAACAAATGGCGTTTCAAACATAACATTAGTCTCAAAGAAGCTACCATAATGTAAGAGCCCTTAAACTTGTGGGGCCAATATTACTCGCATTTTTATATTTAACTTCCTTCAGTAACATACATTGTTGTAAAATTAATAACAGTTTTACCCAGACCTTGTAAACTACTCTACAAGTGCAATTTTCATCTTCTGATAAACAGATATATTGCTAAGGAAATAGTGCATTGAGATAAAGGTGAAAATTATGTTAAGATATGGCAATAATAGAAAAATAATATGCTTTTTTCCCTCTTCCACATTAATCAGGCTTGTCTTGATATTTACAACTGTAGATGCGGTAACTGAATTGTCACGTCACGGAAAAAACGGTGACTCACAGCAGCTTTTGCAGAAATTCGCTTGTTGGGATCATACTGAAGCATTTGCTGTAAAGAAATGGGAGACATTTTCAAATCTGCTTTTCAAAACAACTGTAAGTTATAAGTGTAATGGGGGTGATGCGCAATCCATTGATACATTGATTGTGTACGCTTATAAAGGAGTATTAAAACTATTTTGTGGGAACAGCATTTTTGTTTCCATTTAGTTACATGGTAAGTGTAAAAATACTGGAGACTGGAAATGTGTTGGGTGCTCTATTGGGTGATTAAATAGGTGCCAATAACCTGAATATTAAAATGCAGTAGTTATAATCCACTCATAAATGTTACTAACCATCAGTAAGTCTTTGCCATCTATGTCCAGGCTGGGGAGTATCTTGTTGAAATCTTGTCTGACCCACTGAGGAAAGTTTGCTTTATAGTCAGGTAGCTGTGTAACCCCAGGCCACACAGACTCGTTTGGGGTGCCAAGTGTACGGAAAATTCGGAAAAGCTGATCAATCTCAGAATCTCCTGGAAACAGAGATTTTCTTGTGACCTTCAATTAAAAAAAAACTAAATTAATTAACCATCCTTTTTGTGTGAGATCTGAGTCCCATGAAATCACAGTTCGGGCTGGATATTGTTACATATTTGAAAGTGGAAAATTATGCCAGAGGTGCCATGGTCAATTAAACTTTCTGAATGAAGAGCAATATAATTTTGTCCAAAGACTTGACACAAATAGTGACATCAATTTTAAAAGGCATTATCTGACCTTAATTATATAAACAGTATCAAAATACTCCAGATAAAATATTACAAATTGTTAAACATTTGATGATGTTTCGCTGAACCATTTACTAGATATGTGAAATTTTTACATTTTCCAGTCAAATGTTTAAAAAAATGTAAAGAAGCCAGCAGAACATAAACTGCTACAAAACAGTGCAAATTTGTACTTTTATGTGTGATAAATACCATTTCTGCAAAGATGCATCCTATACTCCAAACGTCCACTGCCGTTGAGTAAAATTTACAACCCATTAAAATTTCTGGAGCTCTGTACCACAAGGTTACAACCTGAATTGTAAATCAAAGAACAGTAAATAGTTTGAATGACTCATAAGCCCAAATCATCACCTCAAAATTAAAAACTGTACATGATTTGTTCAGTGCTTATAATACATTTTTATAAACTACTCAAAAGTCATACACTTAATTAATAATTTTTAAAAAATCTGCATATATATTCTGAAGAATTGTATTAATTAAAAAGTAGCTACATTTTATTTAATAAACTGTCTATTAATGATAGGCTTCATTCTCACTAGTAATGAAAGTTCCCAATTTAGGGAAGAGCTTCCCTCCAAATGGTAAGAATCATGACAATATTGTGGACAAATTGTCTGTCATGCTCGCTTACAAAACACAGTCACTACACTTTAGAGTATATCCTGTAAAACGCTTTGGGAAGTCCTCCTGGTGTGAAGAGTGCTATAACAAATGTAAGGATTATTATATCTAATTGGACACCCCACCACCCAAACCTACATTATTCCATACCAGGCACCAACCAAGTAGCTACCTGCTTAAACTGGAGCCCTGAAAACTTCAGGTATACACAAGAAGTAAAAAAATCCCAATGTACCAATTAATGTTAAATATTTCCTTCAAATTTGATTTTTGAAAAATAAACTAAATTGGGGGAAGAGAAAACAGTGCTTGAACAAGAACAAATTCTTCCCTTCTTATAAAGCACAAGAATGGTGTATTTCTTTCTGACAACACCTCACAAAAACATATTACCTCATGAGTGTAGGTGCGCACAGGTACTCCAAAAGCCCTTGCTAATCCAAAATCTGCCAATTTAATTGCACCAGCATCATTTATGAGCAAGTTTTGTGGTTTTAGATCTCGATGGAGGACTCTGTGAGAATGACAGAAAGCTACCCCCTGCAGTAGCTGGAATAGATAACTCTGTAAAGACAAGAGATCCTTTGTTATGCAAACAGATTTACATTCAACCTTTTAAATAAAATATTTAGAGCAGATACATTTCCAAAAAATGCATCAACATAAATTATTGTGAATTTACAATGAAATTGTAAATGCCACTACCGTTACCAATCCAAATACATTTCCTCCATCAATAGGTTCTTTTTTATATATAAAGTGGTACCACAGAATTCCCCCAATGGCTCAGTGATGTGGTACTAAGCCATGCCAGTCAGGAAAGTACCAGAAAGGATTGTTGGTATGCGCTAAGCAGCAATTGCTTAGCTTCCGCACTTTGGACTAAGAAGATAAAATTTGCCAGATTCCTGCTCCTCATTCATATCCAGCGCAAGTAAATAGGTAACAGGAAGCCTGGCTAAGTTATCCCCCACCCAAGCTATCTAGGAGTACATGTAGACTGTCACTTGGAACACCCACATAAAAAAATGGACAGCAATGTCATTATATATCTAAGTACAAAATAAACGTAATTACTCTGTCACTTACTGAAAAGTTGGGTTCAGAAAAGTTTCACGTATCTGTTCAGTTAATTAACTCTAAAATAAATCCTAGAGTTTCTTTTTTCTTTATTGAAACAACATTAAGCTGGCACTATGGATTATCATGTGGAAGCCTGAAACTGATGTGCCACAGAGCAGCATTACATGTTCATTTTCACAACTCTTTACCCTTCATGTAATTCTGCAATGAGAAAATCAATATATATGTAATATAAGAAAACATATTACAGGGTAACTCATCTGTTTCTAAATATCTCCTAGTGGTTTCCTTGAGAAGTGACAGGAACCTGATAGATCAACTGCCTATCCTTTCAGATTAAATTGATACATAAATTGAGAGACCCCAAAGGGGTGGGTGATAGAAATGATTTTTAAAAAAATCCAAAAACCTAGTCTTCAGCTGAAAAGGTCCGAGTTGGAATTTGTTAGCCTAAGAAAATGTAACTTTTAAAAATTGAGGTGCAAATTTAACTTTTACTTCAAATCTTAATTACCCTCTACCTCTCCCTCTGGAATTCCATCTTACCAATTCACTTCCTACTTTGAAAACCTGTCTAAATTCCTATTTTTTCGATCATACGTTCTGTCATCTTTTCCCCAAATTCCCTCCCTAGGTGCAGGCTCCCAGTAGGCTGTTTGAAATGCTTTGAGATGTCTTCCTGACTTGAATGTCACGATATAAATGTAAATTCTTGTTTCTCTTGTACCTTAACTAATTGCAAAGGGAGTCCGGTAGGTGGAGCAGCATCCATATACTTCTTCAGGTCCTGATTAAGAAACTCAAACACAAGGTATAATTTCTTTTCACTGTGGATAACATCCAGCAACCTAGGGGGAAACAAAATCACATTTTAGTTACAATTTAGTGAGTGAGTGTAATAATTTTCTTGATATTTTGCACTAGAAATATGAGAAATTACCCAAATTCTAATTCTTTATCAAGAATCATAAATAAAGAACAAAAGAAAGTATTTTTCTCTGAATTACAAAAACAAAATATTGTAGAAAAGTAAATTTGTAGAAAACTAGAAAGATTTCAAGTTTATGATTCCACATTCCTTTTTTATACAAATTATATTCAATGTTAAATTATACTTTAAATTTCAGTGCGGTCCAACCAAATCAAACACAAAATACAAAATACTGAGTTCTGATGAAGGGTCATGTACCTGAAATGTTGACCTACTTTCCTTTCTCTTTAGATGCTGCCTGACTTGCTGAGTTTTCCCAGCGATCTCGGTCTTTGTTTCAGAAACCAAATCAATATTGTTCAAAATGCTCATTGTTTTATGCACTGTCCATTTATAATGAGCAGAAGTACGCATACCTCAATACAGTGTACTTCTGAAAAATGTGAAATTAACAATGATCCAAATAGACACTTATGTTTAAAGTGCTATGGAAGTGACTGTTCAAATAGACCAACCAGGTAACAACGCATATGCTAGGTAAAAGGACTTCCTGTAGGAGTTATTACAAACTGCCTCTGTGATAAGATAATACTGTACAGTACTTTTCTAGTTTCTACCATTTTGATGGTATATATATTCACTGATTCTCTTGCAGTCTCAACATCAAGCTCTACTATAAATACAAGTACTTTGTTGCTCTCCACAAGTTTATACTCCAGACTTGACCTGATTCAGTGGGTTAATGAGCAAAAGAAGCATTTGTTACTTTCAATCTCTGATGTTAACTAAACAAAACAAGCAGTTTATCAATGATAGTTCCCCAACTATAAGCAACCTCTAAAGTAAATTGAAGGTCATTCACAAAGGCTGCATAATGTACATTAATATTAATTATAATGATAAACTAGTTTAGAGATGTATTTTGACTGTTCACAACATAATTAAAAAAAACTTCTGATCTTACATAAAACTAAAATAAATTTCTTACTTCACAATGTTTCGATGATTCAACTCTTTCAACAAGGATATTTCTCGAATAGCAGTACTGGGCACTCCTTCCATTTCGCTGTAGGTTTTTTTAAAAAAATGTAAATACTCCTAGTTTATAAGCTGGGTAAAGTATATAATATAAATTACAATTTGAATCAGGTCACGCTTGCTATGTGACTTTCATACCAGAATTGACGTCATATCCATACCGCCAAATCTTATTGATGAATATCTTTGATGTCTCACCATTGCCAATTCAGCCCCTGCAAGACCCCACATAACCTCTTTCCAAAGAGGATATTTTTTGTAAATGATATTGGTAAATTAAGATCTTTCACAGAACCTTCCTGGACTTGAGATGTGTCTATTTGTCCATTTAACCTATGCTCAGCTCTTAAAAACTGGTGTGGAAATCTATGCTACTGGCTAACTGCTTAGTACAGATCTATTACAAATTACTTGATACTAACTGTTAATTAACCATGCTTAAATGTTTGAAATTTAAGAGCTGAACCAGTTTTAACTCTTAAAACTGGCCATGTGAATGTTGTACACAAAATGAGTGGGAACATATTTATTTACTTTTTTTATGTAAAATATTATTATCTCTAAGGCAAGGAATTGAATAATTACATCAAGTGTGAACGCAATTCTTTGTTTCAAATAGTCAACCAAACCTTGAGAAGAGATTATTCTGTTTAAATACAGATAATGCCATTTTTGGTGTCAACCAAACCTTGAGAAGAGATTATTCTGTTTAAATACAGATAATGCCATTTTTTTAACAAAAACGTTTCAGTTTTAGATAAAAGCTTTACTGTGCAGATCAGTTTCGTGCCAACAAGGAAGGTTATTTCCGGACACTGGGAATTATTGTGTTCCACATACTTGTTATGTAACAATAATCTGAGCACAATATGATTGACAATATTGGTGTCCTGCATGGAAGTGTATCAAGAAATGATCTGCAGACATGGACATGTGTGTGCCTCAAATTCCAGTCTCTTCTAAGTTACTAATCACATTTGGGGTAACAGCTGCGGCCCTACAATTAAAAGTGGGACTATCAGACAAGGATCCTGACTGCAATCCAAAACTTCCTACTGGAAGGTGGTGTTGTGAGGCTATTAGATGAGGGCAGGATCAGGCCAAACGACATTGCTCCCTGCCACCCCCCCCAACACCCCCCAACACCCCTCAAAAGATCGAAAAGACTGCCAATATTTGCATATAAATGATTGCCACTTTATAAGAATTAGGTATAGCTCCTGATGTCTCAAAGCACTTCACAGGAGATACTGTAAATTGTAATGCCTTTGGGATTTAGTGGGTAAAGGCAGCAGCAACTGAGAGAAAGAAGCTGTTGCTGCAGCTGCTGCGTTTCGCCGAAAAATAGTCAACCCACTTCACAGTGCACTTCTACTGGGAAGAGCTTCGAGACATCTGGCGACGTGATAAGGCGCTTTATCAAATGGCACGTATTATTATTATTATTATTTATTATTATCATCATCATCACTCACGCATCCAGACGTATCTTCTTGAGAGCCACCATCTCTCCCGTGGTTTTATTCATAGCTTTGTAAACCACCCCATAGGTGCCCTCTCCGATCTTCTCCACTTTCTGGAAGTTATCCATGGTGTGTTCCCTCGGGCTGGCCAGGCGGGGGGGGGGGGGGGGGGGGGCAATTAAACCAATCCAACTGCCACTGATACTGGTACTAACTCGCCAACCTCCCACCCGCGAAAAAAAATAAAAGTCTCACAGCACTTCACAACACTTATACCGGAGAGGAAACGCGCTGAACCGCCGTCAACCCCGGGACTCGCTGAGCCAGAGAGAGAGAGAGAGAGAGAGCGCCAGGGAGGAGATGCCCGAGGTGGCCGCCGCCGTTGGCAGAACACGTTCACTGTCACCCCCCCACCCCGCGAGCTCCGGCACCCAACTGTCACCCTCACCCCCCACCACCACACCCACCCCCCGCGAGCTCGGACACCCAACTGTCACCCTCCCGCCCCCCGCGAGCTCCGACACCCGACTGTCACCTTCAGCACGAGCTCAGACTCTTTATCAGTGACGTGCCCCGGCGTGGCCTCACGGTCCCTTCACGAGCCCCTCGCGTGCCGGTGCCCCCTGACCCCGCCCCACCCCCCCCCCCCAACCGTCGCCCACGCGCCCGGTGACTCAGTTTGCCCGCCTTTCACCCGCACCGGGGCTTCCCATTGGTGGCAGCGGAGTCGAAAGCCCCGCCCCCCTCGCAGGTCAGACGGCGCGCGACTGGTGCCCGAGGCAACGGGGACCGGAGGCTCCGACACCGGAGGGCGGCGGCTGCACAGCAGATGGGGGGGTACAGCGCCACCGCAGCCTCACCCGGACCGCATTCCTCTATTCCCCGGTTGGAGGGAGGGAGGGAGGGGTTGGGGGGGGCAGAAGGACAGCGAGAAAACAGTTGGTGTAGGTTTTCATTCGTAAGACTGTGACTGAAGGGCCCACAGATCACTTACTGGCCATCAGGTCACCTGGTGACAGGTGGTCAGTCTGCACTAACTCGGGTCAAACCAACACTGGGCAACTTGCTGTCGAGGAAACAGGCAGCCAGAGGGTGCCAACTGTTAACAGGCACATCCACTGACAGGATCTCAGTTACTGCAAACACAGTATTTTGTGGAATTATGTTAAAGCACCGACTTACATGGTTTCTTTAGACGGAGATTTGCCCTTTTTTTAAAAAAAAGAGTAGATCTGGAACTGTTTTCATGCACTAAGCATTAATGAGGTAGAACCACTGCTAACTGTATATTTCTCCCCGGACGTGGTGTCAAAGAAAGATAAATTATCAGGTTAGGGGTACACGCAAGTCCCCTGGGTGAGATTTTCTGGTCTGTACACTTACGGACAGTAGTTACAGTTAATAATAATTCTTGCATTTGATATAGCACCTCATCACATCGTGGAGACGTCTCAAAGCGTTTCACGGAATTTACTATAAAGTGAATCGACTATTTTGTGAGTGAAACACCTGACTTATAATGGGGAGAAATCCCATTTTAAACATTATAAATGCTGCTAAGATGAGTAATTGTTCAGTGGAATCTCCCAAGCTCTTCTGTCCATAGGGCAAAAAATTGGGTTAGCTGTGACTTTGGCACAAGTTTCACTACAGCTCTTAGATTGCAACACGGATGATCGGTTATTGAATCAACATCCCAGTTGGTTTGCAGAAAAACTTGAGCCTTGGTTTTAATAAAAACATAAGTACATCTTTTGGTAGTTGTTTTTTAAACATATACAAATGTACAATAAAAGCACTCCCATATTTGGTAATAACTTCCAGTTTTCTCTTTTCAATATCAGAACCACAATCAGTGATCTGCCACCATTGACTTCATTAGTCCTTTTGTTTCTAATCACAAATCGTGACCATTTGTTCTGTCTAATAAAAATCTTTTCATACATTTTAAAATCCTAAATCGAGCTAGTTCAAGTTTTGTCAAAGTATGAGTTTCTCTTTACACACGTTACGATATATAAAAAATGCTTATGGTGGATTTGCAAAATGCACATCGTTTCTTGTTGATTCGGAATTGGTAATGCTCACTGGCAGGGACAAGATCCGAACCAGCTTGGGACACGATACACATTGGCTAATTTTTCTTTAGATCACCCACACTCATAATTTGCTTTTTTAAAAAACTACTTTGCGTATTCAAATTATTCTACAACTGTCATTTAGTGATTTCAACAGTGAAAATATATTGGCATTCCAAAAGTTGCCTTAACAGACCATAACAGTTTTTATTTAACCATATATACAAAACAAGACAAAATTGTATTTTGCGTTTTAGAACGTTCACTTTCCACGTGAAAAACCTTTTCTGAGTAACATTTGCTTGCAATTTTGCTTCGGTCAAAAATTATGGGAAAACAGTAAACTCTTCCAACAGCAGAAATCTAAACCTACACAATGGACTGAATTTGGAAAGATAGAAATACAATTCTTTGAGAAACCATGAATAACATTGGATTGTACTGATCCAATAGATCTTCCCCTCTCCCCACCCAGTCTGTAACTCTATAACACACAAACTAACAACAAACACATTTGTATCCTTCAGTTTTGAATGGATGGCATTTGACATCCATTGTTTTAACTCTTTGGGTTTAACATTTAAACTTTAAACTGTATTAGGCATATAACCATCAACTTAAGTATGCACCAAAGGATATAACCAAACCAAAAGTACTGGGAGCTTCTTCCATTTGAAGGATGATGTTAAAATGCCCAATCGATGCTCAGACGTTCTAATATCAGTCTGGTTTCAAATATACAGTAGTTGCAGATTGACCAGTGGAACTTTTGTTGCTATTTTGAGCAGATAGATCCTGACATAAAATCTATCCATTGCCTCAAAAGTTCAGTCTTAATGTCATTTTATAGTTTAGCCTTCAAGCTTTAAACACATTACACTGCATTTTAAACTTGTTGGACAATCCAGTTGGAGGGAGGCTTGGAGTCAATTGAAAATATGTGCACGAGATGTGTTGGTCATCCTGCCTTGGTTTGAATACAATGTTTTTCCCTCTACATTTTAGTCCATAAAGTGTATGAATGGTCAGTTTACAACATTATTGCCATATTTACCACCACTTGCATAAACAATCTTTCTGCATGACACATTTTCCCACTGTAGAATGTACAGTAACTAATTACTTTTGTTGACATCGAGGTCAATACATTCCAACAAAAGAGGTTTTTGTTATTTCTGTTGACATTTTAGGTGAAAACAGGTTAAACCAAAAATCACATTGAAATATCTGAGCTAAATAATGTTGCATTTGCACATTTCATGAGATGACGCATTCTATTGCATCAAATGACACAGTCCGTTTCATCAGATGTTACAGGGACACTTGCATTGCAGCTTGTGGTTATGTTCGATAACACCTTCAAGAAACAATAGTCTGAAATAAAGTGACCCTGACCTATCCAGCTGTTGGCTGAAATCAAACAAACAAGAGTCAATCAAACAAAATAAAATCCCTAAACACCACATTTTCAACAAAAAGACAGTTGGGGAGAAAATCTGAAGGCCATCATTCTTTTTTGGAAGATGAACACTGAAAATTATTTGTTCACAAATGTCAACATGTTTGAGACACCTGGTCAGTGTTGATATCTGAACATGGCCAATATCAGGATTTTTTTTAAATTATAGTTTTTTTTTGGGGGGAGAGGGCAAGATTGGAAAGTTAATTAAGTGGGAAAAATATATAGTGTTGTGTAAACACACACAAATATAAGCAATTCCCTGCCACCAAGCAAATTCAACATTAGAAATCTCAGATAATAAATAAAGCCACAGATTAAATTTAATTATCAAATAGAAGGCTGCTTTATTTCGGTTTACATCAATATCCCTGAAGTCCATTGTAAACTTTCTTCACTGGTCCTTGTTTAATCAATTGTTTTACACCTGCAAGATGAGAATACAAATTAGTTTTACAATTATACAGATTTTACAGCAGAAGAGGACTATTCAAGAAATCAGTACTTGCCTTCTTTCTGATCATCTGTTAGTTGATCCTTGGGGAAGTCCACATCAAATGTGATTATCAAAGAACCTTTAATATTATTGTTGTCAAAGTTTGGTAGTCCCTCGCCCTTCTTCCAAAGTTTTGCACCCGGTTTTGTGGTTTTGTCTCTAACTATATGCACCTAAAAAAATGAAACACATGTTTAAATAAAGCAAATTGAATAGGGAATACATTAGAATATACAGCACAGAAACAGGCCATCTGGCCCAACTGGTCTATGCTGGTGTTTTTGCTCCATATGAGCCTCCTCCTGCTCTTCCTCAACTAAGCTTTCAAGCATAACCTTCTAAGAAGATCAAACAGACAGATAATCTAATCTTGCTCACTGATTAATCAGGTTGTGGGACTTGGTTTAACCCACACATTTTATCACTTCACATGAAATCAGTACTGTGGTAGTAAATTGCAAGGTTGACCCACATCTACCATTTCCACTTTGGCTACATGTGAAATAGGCTGTACAAAATGTGGACGTGACAATATTAAGCTTTTGCGTAGCTGGGCAAACATGCTGTTGTCCCAATGATGAGAGATGAATCTCCTCTTACCTTGTGTCCATCCAGATGTGTAATAACCATTTCAAATCCTACCAAGGCCTCCACTAGTGAAATTGTAACATTACTGTACAGATCATCACCCCTTCTCTCAAATACTGGATGCCTGAAACAAAATAAACAATGAACATTAAACTAGAGATCATGTTAGTATTTTTAAAAAATGTGTACCATGTACATATGGGTATCCAAAAATGCCTTCATACATCATGAGTAACATGGACCAATCAACTGACATGTTTCATTTTGATCCAATCCCCAAGATCTGTCAATCAAGTTATCTTTCTACATTTTCTCATGTATCAATAGATACATGAAAAAGCAAAGAACTTCGACTGACAAGTCTTGGATTGGAAAATAATTGCATACATGGTATGCGTGATGTACCAATTTTTGCATAGAAGCAGATTTTTTTGCATAATAAGCACGATTTTGCATTAACCCTGATTATACTAATCGTTTCAAGAAATTTCTCAATATAATTTATAGCAAAGACAATATTTTACTTTTAACATTTTTAAAAAACACATCTTCCAAAAGTCTATTTTGGGGAACTTTTGAAAGAGTGTTTACAAGTGTTATCAATGGGAACAAGTGCTCTTGACCCCTTCTAGTTACTAACGCTTGACCTTAAATCTTATTTTTTTAAAATGGAAATTCACAGATAATTATTATTCTTATACATATGGAAAGTATAAAAAGATAAACCTTACTTTAAAACTTTTATTCTAAATTTCAGATCTCCTGGCTCTCCATCTATATGAGGTTCACCTGTCCAAACAACATAATGTACAACTTCAGACCTGAACACAATCACTTTCACAGAAACATTCAAGATCCCCGTTTCAACTACAAAGTGAGTTCTAATCTACCCCTGTACAACCCAGAACCCATTTTCAGAAGTTGATGATTAACCGGGTCATCACACCATGAATTTACAATAAAAAAAACACTTGTACTTCAAACAAAAGTTATATTCAGAAGTAACCAGAAAGATTTAGTTTGCACAAATATACCTTCGCCAATGAAAGGATATTCCATTCCATCCCTAACACCGGGCTCTATCTCTACCTCGAGTGTTCGCTCCTCATTTACAAGCCTAAAATTGAAAGAAGAAATAGCAGGAACATATCATGTATAATGATTATTTAACCAGTTCTGTTTAGAATTAATGGTAGCAAGAACTTCAAAATGTAACCGTAGATTTTTTACTTTATTAACACAATTCTTCTTTAGTGACACAATAATGTACAACATGAGGGACTAACTGACTAAATATAAGTATTACTTCAGAATATTTTAACATTAAATGACCTTCCAATACAAATGATGTTTCCAATATGGAGAATATATTGCACTACTCCAAGGTTTAAAGTCAAGTTCAAATTTAGTCCAGAAAATTTGGGACAAACATGTTCTCGCTTTCAGCTATAAATGAAGGTAAGTAAAACTATTCTCGGAGCTTCAATTAAGATCCTTGGAGGAGTGGAATTACAGCACAAAACCAACCATTGTATTAATTTGGGAACCTCAACCAAGCTGCTAGATTTAATGTGCCACACAGATAGCTGGTATGTTTAGTGGAAAATTCGCACTTGGATAGCTGTTTTGTTTTAAAAGAATGGTGGTGGGATGGTTTTATGCTACTTCAGACCTTGCTCTATCTGTTATGAGTACCCCATTCAAATACTGGCAACCACAGAGACGGTATTTCACTCCCGTAGACTTGATAACAAAAGAGAATTTCACATCAGTTTCATTATTTTTAAATCTCATTCGAAAATTCATCTGTAATATTATCTGAACAAATTTCCCAAAGCTGATAATAAGTGTTTCAATACTAGTTAATACAATAAACCTCACATGTTATTATTATTATTATTATTATAAGTCTTATCAGTTGGACCATACATTTAATATGACTTATGCAAGATATGAGTTATGTCAAACTCACATAGAATATAAACTCTTGACTGGGACTTGGGCAGATGTTTGACTTAGGCAATTATACAATTTATGCAGATCATAATTATGCGAGTTTTACTGCAATATTGGTTTTGATTAGGCTATGCAAACATCGAACTTTAATAAGCTCCTTCCACTGGTTGACCAAAACAAAGGGGCATAAATATATTGATAAACAGAAGCAGAAGCTTATCTAGAAATGGTGAGAATATGGAATTCACTAACAAAAGGTGCTGCTACACAGTAGGAAGGGCAACATCACATTGAGGTGATTATTATTCATAAAATCACAAAAAGGGTTTGGATGAGGCAGGCCTTTCAGCCCATTTATTCTCTTCCTTCCAGAGTACATCCTACCATTCTCGCATTGCAGCATCAAGCTGTTGATCAAGATCTCATCCACTTAAATTTGCATTCAGTGAGCTCAGGCTAATTTATGCAAAAGGGATTTTGTACAGCAGTAATCTTCAAGGTTGGTTTCTCCTGATTAGGGCTTGCGCTGTTCAAATGCCGAGTTTCGCCCATAAAACATACAGTAAATCCACTTTACAATATATTCTGTGAAGAGCTTTGAGATGTCTCAACATAAGGCACTATATCAAATGTATGAATTGTTATTATTATTAGCTGCAAATGATCTTGGGCTTCATAAAGTTACAAAAAATACCAGTAACAAAGGGAGTAAAACACACAATTACTCACTTAACATTAGGGCACTCATCACAAACCATCTCCTGAGTCATCTGGAACCTGCCCGGACCCAACTGTGTTGTTCTCATTTCTTGTCTACAGTTGCATTTCCTCTTCCCTGAGGCGTGTTTTGCCACTGGTTTGTTTCTTACAACCTAAAGAGTTGAACAATAAACTGCTGATTTCCTATGATATCTACATTAGCCCTTCAAAATACCATTGGGTTTATATATTGGAATGTTGGAAACATTGCATTTCTCTATTATTATTTGCAATACATAACCAAGTAGTTGCCATTAGTCTAGTACAATTAACCCCAGTCTACAAGATGTGTGAAGAGGGAAACAACAAAGGGTTCAGTAATATTAAGAGACCTTTGCTGAAAGCACCAATCTTTACATAAAGAAATCAGAAGCTGATTATATGAGGTAACTTGTAAACTGACTGTTGTCAGGGAGCAATGAAAAAAGAAGCACTACTAAGCCACATTTTATCTCGGGTATTACAGTAGGCATTACAATTTAAGTATGATCACAAGTCCTAATATTGTACAATTTCAACTCTAAATAAAATGTAAATCAAATTAAGTATTTTTGTTGATCACAGCAGCTGCAGGATTTACAATATACAATAATTGTACTGCTCTGTAATTCCTACTTAACTCTACCTGCAACTACTATTGTTCAATAATTATATAATGTCTACAGAGTGCAATTTTTACACAAACTATTCCAACATTTAAACAATACTCTTAAATATTAATTTAACCATTGAGGCAACTTAAAGTGAGCTAACTACATCTGTTTATCAAAATATCTGGTGTTTGGATTATGCTTCGGTATCACTTAATAATAGGTTGCGTCTTTCTATGAAAAAATATTGAAGAAACATTTTATTTGTAATATAGGAGTACACATTTTATACCAAGGAATAAAATCACTTAAAATATTATGTGCCAACAGTTTATATGAACTACTGAGGTTAGCAATACAAGTAAATTGAGAATCAGTCATTAAGCACAGGGTCCTTCACATCGTTAATATTTCACCAAACTCGGTGACTGTTTCAAGATAGTTCCCCAGATGCCATCAGGACAAACATACATACAAGAATCCTTTTATTTTAAAAGAGACTACCAACACCAAAAATTGAGAAACATACCACAAAAGTATGCAGATCAGCTATTCATTTGAACACGCAGAGCTATTACAGAATACTATATCCTTCATTACTTACTTCTACAAAGTTTCCCGAGTACACTTCTTCAAGTGTAACTTCAAGATCCACGATAATGTCACTTCCTCTCGGAATGTTCCGGTCTTGTTGCCTTGGGTTTCCCCCAAACATGAAGCCAAAGTCCCCAAAGAAGCTGGAAGTCAAATAATAAATACATAAAGGGATTGACAAAAAAAAATCCACATATTTAAACAAGTAGCCAAATGTGAATCGGTAACTTAACAAAGCTTGAGATTTTCATTAGGTCTTGTAATTAAGTGTTTAAAAATTCTGAATAAACTTCAATGTGTTTGTTACTGGTGAGTTTCAAGGCTGCTTCTCACAAAGCAGGTGCATGGCCTTCTCCAGGGTCACCAATGCTCCCAGCAGCCAGTTCCCAGGGACCAGATGTAATGTTCCCCCACAAAAAAATCACAGTGAAGCCTCCACTGAAGACCGGCTCAGAGGAGAAACTGAACCACCAGGGAATTGAAATCTACGCCAATGCCATGCCCTCCAACTTTAGAAACTAAATTCAAACAACACTCTTCAATTATTAATATCCTATTGTCTTTGATCTACTTTAGTTCATTTCATTCGTGTGCTAAATTGGGTCATTTTAAAAAGAGTTGGATAAGCACACTCAGAAGGGTATTAGAATGTATGGAGAGAAAGCAGGGACTTACAGTTGGGATGAATACCTTCTTGGAGGATCAAATGAAGTGAGAAACATTGACGCAAAACAATGGGCCAAATTGCGTGCTGTATCAGGCTGCCCTAGCATTTTAAACGTGTGACCTGAATTCATATAACAGACACCAAGAGGGTGGCTACAATTTAGAGTTTCACAAAGTAGAGAGAGAGAGAGAGAAATACAGTCCTATCGTTTATGTCGGCATCACAGGAAAATAATTTTCTGACGTAAGTGGTAATAACACAATGGACTAGTGCTGTTAGTAAATTGTTTGTCAATAGACGAAGGATATTGATATAAAAGGGTTTTGAGATAAGTGGGTAGCACTGTAATAATAATAATCCTTGGTTCTAATATAGTATCTTATATCATAGAAATAATAATAATAATAATCCTTGCATTCGATATAACGCCTTCTCATGTCGTTGAGACATCTCAAAGCGCCTTACAGATTATACTGTAAAGTGGATTGACTGTGTATTTTGTGAACGAAGCACGGCAGCCAATTGGCACACACACCGCAATGTCCTGAAAAAAAGCTATGAAGTAAATGAGCAATTTTATCTGTGGCCGGGAATGAAAGGAAACAAAGCCCAAATCTGGACCTGAATCACAATGTTATCTTAAATTCTGGCATTAAATATGCCAAGAATAGCTTTACTTACTGTGAAAATATGTCATCGTGGGAACCTTGCCGACCTTCTTTTAAACCTTCTTCACCATAATGATCATACTGTTTTCTCTTTTCTTCATCAGACAAAACCTAACAAATATAATCAACAGGGAATGTTAGACAAATTAAAATATCTCACAGTTCTGATATGCAATGAAAAATTAGTACGATCATTTACTGACCCATCTCTTTGATGTGCCTGCAGTCAACACACCCTCCCATTTCTCCCCTGCTCGATGTTCAACCACACTACTGTTCAGCACACTGAGACGCTATCCTGCTTGAAGGGCGCTAAATAAATGCAAACTGCTGTTATTGTTACCACATTACATAACAAAATCATGCAGTTGGAACTGTAAGAAAGTACAGCATTGGACTATGACCCCAAAAGTTGTTGTAATTTCTTTCTCAAACATTCTTGCATCATCTTGGTAAAGATGGTGGAGTCCTGTAGCTCAGTGGTTAGAGAACTCGCTTTGCAAGCGAGAGACCTGAGTTCAATTCCAGCCAGAGGGCGAAACCTTGGGCAAGTTTCCTTACTCCACACACCTAATAATAATCCCTCCAAAACCCAAAACAATAATAAATTGGTCATTTTCAATATACGACTGTTTGTGGGACATTGCTGTGCGCAATTAGCTGCGGCGATCGCCCACAAATATACAGTCAATTCACTTTACAGTGTGTTCTGTGAAGCGCTTTGACGTGAAAAGCGCCATATCAAATGCAAGGATTATTATTATTATTATAAAGGTATGTGTGCTTCATTAATACAAAATATAAAATCAAGTTGGCTCAGTTAACGGTGGCACCGTTTATAGTGGAGCTGACGTACTTGAACAGGAACATGCCAGGTGTGATCTCAGATATCAAAGGCCACAACTATTGCCAGGGTTCCTGCTGCTGATGACTACACAATGTTCCCTTTCCTCAAAGTGCAAGTGCATCATGTGAGGCCACTCTTTTGACTGGAATATCCCAGTCACCTATCCTGCTGGCACTCACAAAAAATGTTCAGAAATTATTGAATACCAGTCACACATCCCCAATAAAATAGGAATCAGTGAGAACATAGTACATCAGTCCCTTAAGAATCTGAAACTATTAAAAATTACTCCAACTCAGCAGCTCCTGCCAACCTCATATTGGAGACTACAATTTTTTTATTCACAGTATCCCCCCATTGATAATAATAATAATCCTTTTTCAATCCACGACTGTTTGTGGGACACTGCTGTGTGCAATTGGCTGCCCCGTTTCGCCCACAAATATACGCTCAATTCACTTTACAGCATATTCTGTGAAGCACTTTGAGACGTCTAGAAGATATGAAAAGCACAATATCAAATGCAAGGATTATTATATTATTATTATTATCCTTGCATTTGGTATAGAGCCTTTCACATTGGGAGGGTGTCCCAAAACCTCCACAAGATTAACTGTGAAGTGAAGTGATTATGTCTTTGTGGGTGAATAGTCAATATTCAGACCAGTCCAAGAAAAGGGTGCCCGCTCGATAAGAAGCAAGTTTCTTTCTGCAATTTGTTTTCTGTAAAGTACTTGCAGTTTGTTCAAAGTACTTTCAGTCTGAACAACTCCATCTATTTGTTAAAGTGAGACAGGCTACATTGTAACCAAGGCTAAATACAACTTTTAGGGACATACTGTGATTATTTCAAGACAACAATATTACACATATATAGCACCTTTCATATCGGGAGAATCTCATGAGGTCTGACAATCATAAGCATACACTGCGGCAAGATTCTCCAGATGAGGATTTGAAATTCACAGGACCAATGTGAAAAATCTTGACATTTGAATAGGCCCAAGAAAGGTAAAACAACTACAACGCCAACTTACATTCATATAGCGTCCTTCACGCGCTTACAGCAAAGTTGGAGAATAGAAAATTGGATTAAGAAATTCACATTGCAGTAACTGGAGTCTGACATTACGATTTTATTTCCTCAACACTTTACAAATATATACCAATCTAACTGCAAAGAGCCACCTACTCTCCAGGTGTCCCTCATCTCCCCAAATCAATCCATTTTATCCAAACTAAAAATAGCAATGACTCGATGGAGGCTGGTCATCCGAATCTTGGTCACCAGGAATCTTTCCAGGGCTAAAAATTAATTCCAACAACAACAACAGCTCAGATTCCAACACTAATGTGAGCTGAAAATAAAAAGTTCATTCAGGAAGGGGATATTCCTAAATTATTGTCTCATGTACTAAAATGAAGCCAGTTTGATTTCTTTTTGAGGGAAGCATAAAGGAAAAGGGAGAATGTACTCCCAAATACCCTTACCCCTTAAGTTTTGTTGTGCCTCTCATTTTAAGTCACATCTCTCAATCTGGAGAAGGGTTGGACTACATAAATAACCAATATGCAGGAAAGATGCCAGAGGATCAAGATGCCATGGAAATATTTGAATATTGGTTGGGACACATTAAACAAGCGTCTTTGTTCCAGGTTATTCAGGAAAGGGTAAAATGGAAATTGAATCTCATGTAATGAGGTAATGGCATACTCACACTGTGTATAATTGTCAACACTTAGCTAGGGGTGGGAGGAGAGGGGATTGAAGCCACCAACACTTTAATGCACTGCAAGTGATGCATCCAATAACAAAATTTAGGACTAGGGAGATTACACATGGCTTTATAATCACCTTTGGGAGCCCATGCAATAGACAATGAATGAGAAAATTAGCATTCCCAAAAGGTGATGTATCCAACAAACTTGACTGCTTTGATCTAGAGTTAATTTAGCAAATATCTCATCAATGGCAATATTAATCTTGTCCTCCCAAAGTGAAACAGCTATACAAATGTAATTTTGTTGCTGCTGCTGCTGTAATCTTAAAGAGACTGAAATTCAAATAAATGTAAACTTCTCATTCACTCACCTCTCGGATAGTTCTTTATTAGAAATAGGTAAAATAAGCATGTATTATGAGGGGATGGCATTGTATTGTATGTGTTCATCTTTGGTTAAAGTAAATCCAAGTCAACAAGTATCTTTCAAATTTACTCTCTCGAGTAAAAATAAAGCAACAAAACCAAGTTCAAGAAAATTACGAAAATGGGGTGCTGAAAGTTGAATGAAAATATTTCTACTCTCCTCATACCTGATATGACCTATTATGTGCATTTTCTAGTAATTATTTCGTAAAAGGAAACTGAAATCACGTTAGTAGTTGAGGACGTATAGCCAGGTCTTTCATATACATTTTCTAATCGCACATCATGAAAGATCATTTCTCGGATTATGTAATTTCATTTAACTCCATTTACATATACTTTGCTCCCCTGAAATGTACTGAATACTAGCAAATTTAAACTGTAATCCATCAAAGCCAGGGACATGTCAGAAAGATTTAATAGGCTAAAAAAGTAATATTTAATTTCTGTTGTTTCAAGATACACACATAACCATTAGTATATAAGTCATGTATTTGGTATTGCTGCTGTAATGTTACTCGAAGTGCTTCACAAGCAAATGTTGTAAAGTGCAATAACTATGTGACCATAGGTAAACGTGACAGCCAGTATGTGCACAGCATGTTCCCACAAAACATATTCTCATCCTTCGGAATTAAACAGAGTTCCCGTCTCCCTGTTTGGGTGGATGTTAAAGATCCCGCGGCACTATTCGAAAAGAGAAGGGAGTTTTCCCCAGCGTCCTGGCCAAGAATCCTCCAAATAAAACTGATCGCTCCCTCGGTGGCTGCCGGTGGGTCATTGCCGTGCCCAAACCGGCCGTCGCGTTTCGCCCATAAAAACCCATATACCTTGCGAAGCGCTTTTGCGACGTCTCGAATGACGTCCGGTAAAGTGCGGTACCAAACGCAAGGATCATCATCATCATCCGCCCACAAATACATACAGTCAGTTCACTTTACAGTGTGTCCCGTGAAGCGCTTTGGGACGTCCCTCCCGACGTGAAGAGCGCTGTATCAAATGCGAGGATTATTATCATTATCATCATTACACCCCAAGAAAGTGAAGGATGACGAGGGAGATAGACCCCTGAAGGATAACTGGGGAGAACATTTTTTTTTGGGGGGGGGGGGTCCCAGCAATCAAACGTCACGGATTACAGCGGCTGAACCCTCACCTCTCCAACAGCAGCCAATGAGCTGCAGCCACACAGGCGGCCGCGGCTCCTCAGCGTTACAACTCAACCCAAAGCCATGGCTCGGGATAGGGGGAGAAGCCGTCCGGACCCGCGTTTACACCGACACTTTTTTTTTTGGTGGTGGTGATGGGGACCACCCTCTCCCCCCTCTCTCCCTCTCCCTCCTCCCTCTCTTCCTCTCCCCCTCTCGTTACCTCGTAAGCTGCCCCCAGGTCCTGAAACTTGTCCTGCGCCTCGGGGTCGTCCAGGTTCCGGTCCGGGTGCAGCTGCAGCGCCAACTTCCGATACGCTTTCTTGATGTCCTTCACGGAGGCGCTTTTGGAGACCCCCAGAATCCGGTAGAAATCCCTCCTGAACCCACACAACAAAACAGCACAGCGCCGCCTGTAAACCACCAGCGGCCACACAGCCCCGAGTCTCCCAACCCCGACCTTCCCTTCTGACTGGAGGTACAACACGGTGAGACCTCCCCCCCCCCCCACCCCACTCCCCCCTCTCTCTCTCGCACTCCCCACCCCACTCCCCCCCTCTCTCTCTCCACCCCACTCCCCCTCTCCCCCCCCCCCACTCCCTCTCTCTCTCGCACTCCCCACCCCACTCCCCCCTCTCTCTCTCCACCCCACTCCCCCCTCTCCCCCCACCCCACTCCCTCTCTCTCCCCCTACCCCACTCCCTCTCTCTCTCCCACTCCCTCCCCCCCACCCCACTCCCCCCTCTCTCTCCCCCCACCCCACTCCCTCTCTCTCCCCCCACCCCACTCCCCCTTCTCTCTCCCCCCACCCCACTTCCCCCTCTCTCCCCCCCCACCCCACTCCCTCTCTCCCCCCCCTCTCCCTCCCACCCCACACCCCCCCTCTCTCTCTCTCTCTGGACACCCCACCGACCAACTCGCAAACGCCATACACTTCACGTTTAGAATCAGTATTTAAAAAAAAACAAGTACGAGGTTCTCGGTCCTGGACTTTACACTCCGGTGTTAATAACCCACAGAGTCAGGGTGTGTGAGAGAGAGAGAGAGAGAGAGAGAGGGAACCCCCCCCCCTCAACCCTGATTCATTCTGTGACAATGAGAGCCATGGCGGGGGGTGTGGGGGGAGAACGGCACCGACGCGGATGGCGGGGCCCCGCCGACAGCTGCTCACCCGCCCAACACCTCCCCCGACAGACACATCAGTAGGATGCAGACGGAGCGCAGGTTCGCCTCTCTCGCCGCCATCGCTCGCTCTCTCCCTCTCTCTTTTCTGGCCCTTCTCGGGTTGCAGGCGATGCGAGTGAGCGAACCGACGAACGGAAGGACGGACGGCAGCGACCGGCGGGAGCAGCGCCCCCCACAGGCGGCCTTTCCTCAAGCCCCGACTGAGGAGGAGGAGGAGGGGGGAGGAGGGGTGGGGGGGGGTGGGAGCTGCTCCTCAACCAAACACGTTGCTCCACTCAACTGGAGGCTGTAACAGTTCTCTCTCGTTCCTCCTCCTCCTCCTCCTCTCTGTTACTCTCCACCCCCTCTCCCCTCTCTCTCTCTTTCCACACACACACATTTGCGTTACGCAGATCTTTCGTTTTAACACATCATTCGCAAAAAAGAGCATCTTCCAACAATGCAACACCCACCCACCCACTGCCCTGGAAATGTCACCCAGACCTGAACCCACAAACCTCTGATTCAGAGGTAAAAGTGCTACTCACAAAGCCAGACTGACACCTCCCTGAACCACCCTCCCTCCCTCCCTAACTTTTGGGGTTGTCAGGCTGATGCAATCATTGTAACATCATTATAATAATAATAATAATCCTTGCATTTGATATAATAATAATAATACTTGCATTTGATATAGCGCTTTTCACGTCGGGAGGACGTCCCAAAGCGCTTCACAGAACACACTGTAAAGTGAATTGACTGGATATTTGTGGGCGAACGCGGCAGCCAATTGCGCACAGCAATGTCCCACAAACAGTCGTAGATTGAAAATGACCAATTTATTATTGTTTTGTTTTGGAGGGATTATTATTAGGCTCTGTGTGGAGTAAGGAAACTTGCCCAAGGTTTCGTCCTGCCTGGAGTTGAACCCAGGTGTCTCGCTTGCAAAGCAAGTGCTCTAACCACTGAGCTACAGGACTCTGAATATAGCGCTTTTCACGTCGTTCTCGACGTCCCAAAGCACTTCACACATTACCGCTGAACTCTTTGATTTGCATTTCAGGCATTCTGTGAGAACGTTTCAGCGATATCTACGAAAAGCAGTAGGTGACGAAATGATAGTTATGTTACATTTTAAAAGAAATCCAACTCTGGGCAATGTTTTGTCTTGCAACAATTTTCGCTTCGTTACATTTATTTTTATGTTCGTTTCAATGTGAAAATCTTGTTTCATGGAAAATAAGAATGCATAAAATCTTATCACGATTTGATTTGTAAATCTATGCCAAACTAGCATTGTTCTATTGAGCTCCACATCGCCTGGCGAGAAAACACACCATCCAGTCCAGCAGCACTGGGCCATACAGGATGCAAGCTTGGATCACGTTTGCACAGGGATCCCAATTTGTGTGGCGTTAGCTGGTCTCAACTGAGCTAGCAGTTGTGGCTCTATATATAGTTGACCTTAGTGGAATCAAAAATTAATAGTTCCCACTCCTAATAATTATGCAGTGACCCCTTCTGGTTAGTGTACGTTTGTGGTCTTCAAGTGAGGAGAGGTTCAGTTTAACTGTGATACACCACACATTGGTGCAATAGAAAACCTCATACACAAAAAAAAAATCCATTTTGCCAAGGCATCAGAGTACACACTGCAAAATCATAACCTACTGTGTCAGCTCCTGTAGAAAAGATTTTTTTAAAATCCGATTTTTCAAGAGACATGCTTGCTCATACATTTGAAATGCAAACTATTTGCAGGTAGATTCATTCATTTTGCTTTAAAAATGGAATTTATTTTGATGTAGCGTGCTGTAAATGATAAGCATCACCACCGACATCACTATTTTTTGACAATAAATAATAATAATTCTTACATCTGATATAGCTCCTTTCATGCCGGGAGAAACTCCTTTCTCTTTTCGAGTAGTGCCGTGGAATCTTTTAACGTCTACCACAACAAGCGGTCAGGGCCTCCCGTTGCACGTCTCGAGCGACAATGCAGCACTTCCCCAGCACTGCGTTGGAAGTGTCAGCCAAGGCTAAACAGGTTCAAAGTTCCTCTCCGGGGCTTGAACCCACAACCTTCTGACTCAGAGGCGAAGGTGCTGCCAACCGAGCCCGGCTGCTGCATGGCGCTTCCTCTTAACGTGTCCCTGGGAGTTGACAGACCCGCAGGAGACTCGGAAATCTGAATCCATATCTTTTTTAACCCTACATCTCCCTCCCTCGGTCCCTTAGCTGCACTACCCCCCCCTCCAACCCCCACCCCCCCACTGGTCTGGTAGTGCTGACTGACAGCACAGCTGGACAGGGACTTTTTGTCTTTGAATCTCCCTCCTGGGCTCTTCGAACCATTTTATTTAAACCTTTTCTTTAAAAGACTTAAGTCTTTGTCTGTCCCCCCCACCCCCACCCCCTCATCCCCTCCCCCTCCACCATCACCACACACAACACAATCCCTGGTGCTGACAGCTGAGCAGGAGGTCCTCCCAGTGGCTGACAGCTCGCGGGGTGGGGGCTCCTCTTGCCTCGACTCCTCTCCTCGGCGCTCCGATCTGCGCAGCCGCAGCAACGGAAAAGTGAGGTACCGAAGCGGGGGAGCCGCGGCCTCCCGCCCTCCCGCCCGCCCGCCCCTCCCTCCCTCCCGCCCTCCCCTCCCGCCCTGTAAACACGGTCAGGCTCGCGAGCCGCAGGTAAGAAGAAGGCGGCGGCGGCCGGCGGTGTGAGTCGGGCCTGGTTGCCATGGAGAAGCGCGGAGTCCCTGCTGAGGCGGCCGCGGTCCCGCCGAATGATAAGCAGCTCCTCCCCGCCCCCACCTCCGCCATCATCACCATCACCATCATCATCATCATCCAGGGGGCACAGCAGCATCGGCTTGATCCAGGCCTCTCTCTCTCTCTCTCTCTCACACTCACTGAGTCAGAGTTCAGCAATCAACCCGACAATTCGTCGAATTATCCTTCCCCCCTCCCCCCTCCCCCCCCCCCCCTGAGCCGTGAACCCGAGGCCCGTCCCCAGGTGGGCGTTTCAAGGTCCCCAAAGCACTATTCGAAAAGAGAAGGGAATTATTTCTCCGAACAAATCTCCCAAATAAAACGGGCCATTCGCTCCACGCGGCTGTTGGTGGGGCACTGCTGCGGGCAACCGGCTGCTGCGTTTCGCCCACGTAATGCACAAGTCAACCCGCTTCACAGTATATCCTTTATAATAATAATAACAATAATAATCCTTGCATTTGATACAGCGCTTTTCACGTCGGGAGGACGTCCCAAAGCGCTTCACAAAACACACTGTAAAGTGAATTGACTGTATATTTGTGGGCGAACGCGGCAGCCAATTGCGCACAGCAATGTCCCACAAACAGTCGTAGATTGAAAATGACCAATTTATTATTGTTTTTGGTTTTGGAGGGATTATTATTAGGCTCTGTGTGGAGTAAGGAAACTTGCCCAAGGTTTCGCCCTGACCTGGAATTGAACTCAGGTCTCTCGCTTGCAAAGCGAATGCTCTAACCACTGAGCTAAAGGACTCCTTTGAAGCGCTTTGAGACGTCCTTTCCACATGATAAGGGGTTTTACTAAACGCAAAGATTCTTCTTGTTAATTTCCGAGTGCACTGACTGCTACCCAAATAAGAGTACGACTAGACCCAAAGGGGAATCTGAACACTCAGTTCACCCCTTTCTCTCCCCCTGGCCCCGCAGCACTCTGAAAGTTATAATCCTAAAGGGAGCAAATTTACTCCCGTCAGTGACATTCCTAACATTGAGTCGGGAGATCTGAGCTGCGTGTGGTGATATAGTATATATATCACTGCTATGCATATGCCACAAGTCAAGATGCAACTTCCAGCTATTAGCACTTCAAATGCCCTACATTTCTGTGTTTTTATATATAGGAATACACTTTAAAGCTTCACATACCAAACATTTAGAGAAAATGTGGTTAATACATATAAAACTATTTACTGGCTTAAGATGTTATTTTCCTAAAATAACTTTTTTTTGGTGTTCTGCTATTTAAGAGAATATTCACTGAAAGAGTAGGTTGTTTGATTCTGCATCATGTGGCAGGGGAGAATTGGCTGAAGCCATGAGATAGAACACAATTAGAACAAAAAATAATTACCTAACCTTCCATTGATTCTCTTAAATGTAAACCGAAGTTTATGACTCAATTCGTCTGCCTCATCCCCACTTTATTTAATTGTGGGCCTTCCCAACTCTTCCCTCCGCAAGCTGCAAATCTCTGCAGCTCTCTAACACCAGGTTCCGTGACCCCATCACACTCACCCTCGCCCGGCTCCACTAGCGTCCCATCCCTCAGAGGATCGAGTTCAAAATTCTCGTCCTCACCTTCAAGACCCTCCATGGCTTTGCCCTCTCCAACTTGCTAGTCCCTTATCAACCTGTCCGCTCCCTCCGCTCAGCAGGCTCCGGCCTGTTCCATGCATGCCGCCCAGCCTGTCCCACCATCCGTGGTCAGCCCTTCAGCCTCTCTGACCCCATCCTCTGGAACTCCATCCCACATTCCTTCGCCTCGCTCCCTCCTTGGCCTCCTTCAAGGCATGCCTCAAGGCCCTCCCCTTCTACCATACCTTTGGCCAGCCTCCTGCCCTCCCTGCCCTCCACCCTCCCTGATCCCAACCCCCGCCCCATCCCCAGACCTAACTCCTAAATGTTCAGCACCTTGGGACGTCCTCTTGATATGAAAGGCGCTTTACTAGTGTAATTTTGTACTGTATCTAGAAATCTCTCTTTAAAACGTAACCTCTTAGACCTATGGTCACATCCTGCATGAAGGGCACAATATAAATGCAAGTTGTTGTACTTTCTATTAGTATTACGTTTGTATTTTGTGAATTAAAATACATTTTCTTTTTAGTAGATATGGAGCAGCCAAATGTCCGCCTTTGGGTAAAATATGAAACCTTCATTGTTGGGGTCTTACAAATCCCACCTCCTTCAAAATTCAGCATGCACTACCTTCGAAAGATGGCAACGTACGTTCGAACAAAGACAGCAGATGGGAGCTATCCCAGACTCTCTTGGCTCATGTGGAGACACATTGCTTGTGGAAAGTTGCAGTTGGCTGAGAATTTGGCCTGGATGTATTTTGAAACCTTTGATAGCCTTCTTGACAAAACTGCGGAGGAAAGGCTGGAGTGGGCTGAAGCTGCGTCTCATTGCAGGTCGCATGAGGAAATTGAAAAACTGAGAAACAAGGCATGGTTATCTTTTTGGGATTTCACCTTTTATTTTGTCTGTAGATCAGAAATTGTTTAATATTTATTTTGCTCAAATATTCCATGTAATTTATTGCATATTATTCTTGATAAATCTTGAGCAATTGTATCAGAAATCTGTATTGATGTAGAATACACTGACAAATGCTTCTTTACATTTCTCCCTTCCAACTTTCGCCCCCAATTCTTCTGCAACAGGATGTTTTCCCATATTTTTCCCAAGTGGCTATTCTTTGTGTGAGTTTGCGTAGTGTGTATGGTCAGTTTATTTGGTACTGTCACAGCTAAGGCTGATTCTGCCCTTGTCCGATATCCACAGAAGGTCTAATATTTTTGTCCAGCTAGAGTAAAATCGGTAAAGTATACACAAAAAAAAACTGAATTTGTGATAACAGGAAAACTAATAAAAGGATCAGTTATGTTTTTTAGACTGTTCCTTCCTCCAGTCTCAGTTAATCTACAAAGCCTAGCTTTCAGCTAAGTGTTCTTCTTCCTCTCCCCCAAGGTGAATACGTGATATCGGCCAGGTTGTCAGATATAGCACCAAGTGGAGGCAAAATACCTGGCTAATAATAAATTTAAAAATCAGAAGGTGTTCTATCTTTGCTCTCACTGCAATATTTACTCCCATTTAATTGCTGAGGGACTTTTGCAAAACTGATATCTATAGTTGCTTACCCAACTTTATAGTTTATAGCAGTCAATGTATTAAAGAAGGAAGCTAAAGAAATAGGGATAAAAGTTGGCTCAGTTTCTTGAAGGAACCAAAGAAAATGTTATGCCTAATCTCATAACTACAATCTAAAATAAAATGAAATCAACACTATTTTTTTTTGTTGTAAACTATTTGCAAGATATTCCTGCTTGTTATGGGTTGTGTATCTAATCAAATAGTGACCACAAGAAATGCAACTTTTTTCTTTTTCATCAGCTATCAGTGGACACACTCCAGTTCCTGTTGTTTCTGTATGTCCAGCAGCTGAACAAGGTTTCTTTGAGGACATCTCTGATTGGAGAGGAGTGGCCAAGCCCCAGGTCACGATCACCTGATCTGGATAGGAAATCAGGATCTCAAAACAAGGTAGGTAGCCTTTTGGGATGCAAATAAAAGGGAAGAGACAACAAAACGAGGAAGCACTCAGTTAACTGTGGAATGGCACCAATTTTTGAATTGAACAAAATACTGTACAAAATGGCTAAATAAAAACATGACCTGCCTCACTCAGTTTAAGTCAGAATTCTACATCTCCCTGTGCCAAAGTGACTCATTGCTTCTCACTGGGTATACTTGGGAGTTTGTGTCAAGGTGCTGGTGCTCAGAATTCTGGAGATGCCAGAGCTAGTTTCACCAGGTGTACATTGAATACACTTACATGTGTAGTCCACAAAACCAGCAAACTTGTACAGGTAACTAAGTAGGGTGGTTATTTATGGTAATATACTATAACTGTCCAAACACAGCTGTCTGTGTGCTTATCCCGTGCATGAACTGGCTCTGGCAATCAATTCTGGCCACAAGGAGCTAGTTTTGCAAAACAAGAATACTTCCCTAACATTTTTATTGATGTTTTCCATGTGTTGCTTATCTGGTTTGAATGATAAAGTACTCTTGGACTGAAACATTTATCAAAATATTTTTTGTCTGTCCTTACACGATCTAGAACACGGATGACCACAATCATCTGGCTTTCATTCTGAACCACTTGTCAGAATTGTTGGAGCTCCTGCTAGACCCTGAGCAGCTCACCGCTTCCGCCCACTCTACCCATGAGAGCTTAATCTCTGTCGAAGCAGTTAAAGCACTGAGCTTTCTCATGGAAGGAACTATCAACCAAAATGGAATTGTTTATCCTGTGCATGAACTGGCTCTCTGGCAACCAATTCTGGCCACATGTGGTTACTCCAAACTCTCAAAAATGTTTTCTTTCTACAAGCTACAAGCCTGGCTGAAAAGTGTTTTAGGATCTAATCCATTTGGCAGCGCAGTCTGCCTCCAAAAAGGAAAGAAGCTAGCATGGGCACAGCAAGGTAATTAACCCTAATAGATTTTACTCTTACATAACAACAATGCGTCCTTTTGTCCATAAGAAATTGAAAAAGTATATATAAATTCTTTTGGTTTTAAACTAAGTTGTTTCTTTCTATAAGAAAAACAAGTACTGTTTTTAAATAATATTTTGTGCTTTTCTTTGCTAGCCCAAAGAGATGGCCATCGCTTCATTAACCGCTGCCTCAGTTATTGAGAGTCAAACAATCCTAACATTACTGAGTCATACAGTCCTAATGTTATTACTGAGGTACTTTCTTTCTCTTTAAGTTGAAGGGACAACAAAGCGGGCAAAGATTGCATGTAATACTTACACAGCACCCAAAGGCCACAAGGTGGTGGTAATGACACAAGTGTACAAGCAAACCCTGGCAAAGAGCTCAGATCAGCTGAATGGGGCTCATGTTAAAATTCATCGCTGCAACGACTCCTATATATACCTGTTATCTCCTTTAAGGTGAGGTTAGTGGTAGATAATTTTAAAAAAAATATAAAGCTGAAATGTTTGCTAGAAAATGGGAGTATTAGCAGAAGCCTTGATGTAACTGATTTCCTCATCCCAGCCACAAAATGGACCATTGGAAAAAATGAATAGTAATAAATAATAGTAACCCTTGTATTTGATATAGCACCTTATGTTTTCGAGATGTCTCAAAGCGCTTCACAGAATATACTGTAATGTGAATTAACTGTATATTTTGTGGGCAATACCTTGGATTTGATACAATAACTGTAAAATTAGCTTCTCAAAGCGCTTCACAAAGGTTTTGTACAATTTGTAGGTGAATACGGAAGCCAATTTTCACACAATAATGTCTTCATGAACTGAATGACCAATTTTATCTGAAAGTTTGGACACTAGGAGAACCTCCCTTTCCATATTTGAGTAGGTCCATGGGATATTTAGCATTCATCTGAACAAGTAGACAGGATGCTATGTTTAACATCTCAACTGAAAGCACGTCGGACAATGTAGTGAGCCTAACATTGCATTATAGTGTCAGACTAAATTATGAGCTCAAAGTTTCCACGCGGGACTTGAACCCCAAACTTTCTGACGCAGAGGTGAGAGTGCTACCAACTAAGCCAGACTGACATCATAGTGATCGTGAGAAGAGAAATGGATGAGAGGAAAATCTAAGTATGAGTAAATAAAGAATTGGAATCTACTTTCTACTTTATGTTCATTTGTGTTTCTTATTGCAGGTCTGTCAGCATTGAGAAGTGCAGGAACAGCACATTTGTCCTTGGTCCTGTGCAGACTTCCATCCACATCCATAGCTGTGACAATGTGAAAATAATAGCTATCTGTCACAGACTTTCAACCTCATCGTCAACATTGTGCACTTTCCACTGTCTCACGCCTACCTATCCTCTCATCATGTCTGGGAACACAAGCCTAATATTTGGCCCTTACCACACTTATTATCCAATGTTGGAGGATCACATGGCTCGGACGGGCATAGCCACTTTGCCCAACTATTGGGATAAACCAATGTGTATTGGTCTGGACAACTGTGAAACCCCTGTCTATCAGCTGCTGTCTCCGAAGGAATTTTATGTGTTTGTGATTCCATTTGAGATGGAAGGAGACACCACAGAGATCCCTGGAGGTCTGCCGCCACAATATGAAAAAGCTAAGAGACACAGGGAGCAGAAAATCCAGATCTGGCAGAAAACCGTGAAGGAAGCAGGGCTCAGCAAGTTAGTAATTAAACATGGAACCTAGACTTTTTATATTCCTGACTAAGATTCAAAAGCAATATAAGTAAGGCTAAAATACAATAATTTGAATTTTATAGTATGTGCGCTTCATTGTTTTGAGGATGGGAAAAATAGCTGGATTGAATTCAACTGCATAAAATAGAAAAAAACAATCTTACTAAACCAGGCCATTTGATTTGGTTTTGCAGGTCAATAAGCATTTTAAATGTGTTTTTAATTTTGGTTTTAAAGAGTTCTAATTTTCTGTAGTTTTTTTTGTATGAAGATGGAAATTGTTTTAAAAACTTATAACTTTTCCAAAGTCTGGGGAAAAAAATCACAGTGCAACTCTGTTATAAAGGATTGTTTTTTTATTTACTGCTTTGCCCCATCTTGGAAAATTCAACAGATTTTTGATTCTCAACAACAACAAATTGCATTTATATAGCGCCTTTTATGCCGGGAGGACATCTCAAGGTGCTGGACAGTCAAGGGTTTGCAGCTGAGCTGGAAGGTGGATTCGGGAGGTCAGGGGGTTTGGGGGTGGGGGGGGGGAGGTGGCAAAAGCACAGTCGAAAACAGGAAGGTCTTGAGATGGACCTTGAAGGAAGTGAGGGAAGTGGTGAGGCAAAGGGATGGTGTTCCAGAGAGTGGGAACAGAAGGCTGTAGCCCTGATCACCAACAGTGGGGCAGGCAGGGCGTGGGGCATGAAGCAGGGCACTGCCTGCCCAGTGAGGGAGCGGGCGAGTTCGTAGGGTTTTAGAAGGTCACAGAGGGAGGTGGGGCAAGATCATGGAGGTAATTAAGGAGGGCAAGAATTTTATTTGTTCAATAGATAACTTAATCCAAAATTTGTCAACGTTTGCTAATGGTTTAACTTCTCTTCTAGAGAACAACGCAAGCAGTTTCAGAACCTGGTGGAGCAGCAGTTCCGAGAGTGGCTGGCACTCACCGGGCATCGGCAGCAGCTAGACAGTCTTATCCCTGCTCCTACCTCTCCAAAACAAGCTGCAGCTTGATCATCCATTGGCTTTAGAAGAATCATCTATTGGAGCTCTTTCAAATGCATATTTCATGTAATTTTTTTGTGGCTACATAACTTAGGTGGATTTGAGCTCTTGATGAAATATGTGCTTTGAATGGAAGTTATTAAACCTAAAATAAAATTTCCAAGTGTATGATACGTCATATAGCAAAGTCCTAGACTTGGTTTAGTGACATTCAGTGACACTCGTTTGAGCCATTAAACATGAACTATGATTTATTTGTTCGTTGATCAACTTCACTTTTGTTTTCAACACCAATAATTGGTACGAGAAGTTAATATAAATTATTTTTTTATTCATACTGTACAATTATTAATTGCACAGCTCTATTTAAAATAAAATTAACTTTGCAGTTTCTGAGTTGGTGTACATTCATCATGAGTCTTAATTAAACAACTAATTCTGGGTCTTTGCTTGTAGATATGGAAGGGAAAGTAGAAATATTTTATTTGCTCAACAGTAAGTGTAACAGTGTAGATTAGCTTCTTCCTGTGCAGTGTGAAGTTTGTTCTGGACTGGACTCACACTTAGGGTAAATGGTTTGCTGTGCTGCCCCTGTGCTGCTCCATTTCCTTGGCGGAATGTGGGATTGTCACATTTGCAGTTGCTTCAGATGTGTGGGGATCTAATGTGTATGGTTATAATGGCAACACAGTGTAAATATACTTTTCAGAAAGTGAATCCAACTGTTACTGACTCACCCTCAGAAATTCTTGAAGTTACAGCTGTGCTTCTGATCAGTGTTCCAAACTAAAACAGAAAGCACCAATGCATTAGTCTTTTTTTGCTAGTGCAATTATCCTAGAGTTGCATTAATGTGATCTATAGCTCCATATCCAATTTGTAATTAGTGTATCTTAGTGTCTTCCCCTCCCTTCATTGGTTGGCCCCTCCAGCACTGTTGCTACTTACCACTGAAGATACGACTTCATTTCTAGACACGCTGAACGGTTGAATTGACCTAATCTCCCAGCCAAACTTGCCTGTGTTTGATCCTGTCAGATTACTTAACCTAAGATAGATTTGATCCAGTGCAGTGTGAACATCCTAGCACTGCTGACATCCAATCAAGGTTTGTTTCTCCAAAAACATCTGAATCTTGATCTGAAATTTGAAATCTTTTGACATAAACACCATAAACAACTTACATTTATACAGCGCCCCTCATGCAGGATAGCATCCCAGAACATTACAAATGTTTAATCGTTAAACATTACAAAGAAAGAATTGCAGGAAATTAAGCATGAATTTAAGAATTTTTCAATTATAATTTTTAAGACAATGTTGAATTATCTGGCCTCTGACACCCACAGTTGCACTTTCCAGCCAGCCACTGAACAATGATCAGGGATTCGACCCATGATTGATGCTTTTCCCCTTCCTCCTCCTCAACTCCGACACACAGATCAGATAAATTGGCACAGACCAGAGATGGAAGTGTCGAACCCAGGATGTAGTCGCTATAGCTAGGATTAAACGAACACTCACAAACAGAGTTAGCTCAAAAATATAGTTTATTTAATACTTGCAGCAAGGAGAGGGAAAGCGAGAGGCAATACAATAGCACGTCTCTCAGAAGAGTCGGTACTCTCCCTCTACCAATGGGGCAGTCCCATCAGTTTATATACATGATTATTTGCGATCACCTCATGTCTCAAAACAATTCTTGCTGTTGATTGACAAGCAATATTCAGTCATCACAAGTTTAATTATACATTTGCAGACAGGACAAGGACACTGGTTCTGCTCTAATTTATCTACGTTGTTGCCTAAAAAACAACTTTAATCTTATCATAGTCTAGACTCTGTACTTTACGTATTTTAGTCCTTTTACATTCCCACAGAAGCTGGGGCCTTCCTTTCCTGTATGGCTTATTGCTACTGAATATTTTAATTGTATTGCCTATTGAATCTATTTGCACTGTATAAATCTGATTTTCTGAAGTGCTGAGCATCATTTAAACAGCTACGCATCATTTCCAAGAGATACATTTGCAAAACTGAAGTCAAAATAGGCTTTTGTGCACTTAGTTGTCAAGTGTTGAAGGAATTTAATTGAATCTGATGGAACATTTGAGAACCCGTGTGGTTTAAACATGCTGCACAGGTGATTCTTTTTTGCCAACATGAGAATTTGACACCTCAATAACCTTAGCAGTGGGTTAAAACCTTTTATTTTTGGTACCAAGGCTCAAATGTGATCCAGACATTAGAGGTCTCACTGCTGGCTACAATGATTTTAAGCAGCAAAACCTGGAGTCCTGTTGGTTGACTCCACAACATAAAAAACCTCCAATTCAACTAATTTGACAATCTTAAATCACAATGAAATTATTAATCTTTGTTATTTCCAGTCTATTTTCAACCACATTTTCCTCCATTTTTCTGAACACATGTATTCTTCCTATGCATCTGACCCGTCACCCTAATGCACACGGGAATGACATTGTGAAGACCTCCACCTACTGGCAAAGGAAAAACAACCTATATAAAAAAACATACAGTACTTCTTATGAGGTTCCCATGGGCTGTCAAGAGGTAATTAGTAGATAAACCAGGGGATATGGGCATCAGGCCATTCATCACAGTTAATGAAGGGCATTGGCAGATACATAAGAATAATCTTTGCATTTGATATAGAGGTCTCAAAGCGCTTCATAGAATATACTGTAAAGTGAATTGACTGTATACTTTGTGGGTGAAACATGGCAGCCACTTGCACACAGCAGTGTCCCACAAACAGTCGTGGATTGAAATGACCAAATTATTATTTTTTGAAGTAGACCTGAGATCAAATTACAAAATGTTACAAAAGGATTCGCTATGGTGGACATATATAGACTGTATTCTCTTGTTGATGATTCCAAAATAAATAAGATAGCCAATAACAGATCTAAAAGAGAGTTTAGGAGGAACTTCTATTAACAACCAATTCTGATCATTTTCCAAAGTCAGTAACTGATGCACACCTGTTGTTGAGTTTTATTTCGGTTCAGCAACTTCATTAAAACAAATCATTCCAATTATTCTCATTCCTGATTGTCTGCGTGCTTTTATTGAATTTAGTCAGCAAAGCGGGTAAATTAATCCACAACAATAATCCAACTGGCATAACAAACAATTAAGAGGAACTCACGCTCTAGTTACTTTATTATCCTATCAGTTTTTCTAGAAAACTTGCCTGGATTTGAAATTACTGACTCGATATTTTTATCTCATTTTCATGACAAAGGGTTTCGGTCCAGTAAATCCAGCAGAGTATAAAAGCGGTGTTCACGTTTCTCTTTAAAGCAATTGTTTTCAAAAGGGCTCCAAAGATTAAGAAACAAAAATGGGGAAAGTAAGTATGACTCGAAGTAGATCTATGTTTCAGTCTAAGTTGTTTTTACAGGAGACTGTGGAAAGTTAAGTTAGTCCTTTGTAAGTAAGTACCAGTTATATCTGACAAGCCACATACAATGGATTTTGTCAGTTATCAGCTTTGCCATGAGCACAGAGGACTGCACGCTGCCTGCTATCTTGTCACATTATAGCATGTACTGTTTCTGTTGGCAGAGAATGTAAAATTGTAGTGAAACTGATGGCGTACTATTTTGTCTCGTTTTTTTTAAGGAGTAGGGTGAACGATGGCTGACCAACACTCAATGGAGTGCAAGTATTGGGGGGAGGGCAGGATAAGAGTCAGAGAAGGAAATAAGGCTCCCCAAAAGAATCTAGTTAAATGCACAAGAATGCCACAAGGACTAGGATGTTCCAAGCTCAATCCTTGGGACGGGCTGAGTTAGCTGATCTAAGCCAGGCAGATGTAGGTCAGTGGGAGGAAGGACAATACAGAATGTCTAAGGATGGTGGGAGGAGTGAAATAAAATCAGGTTTCTGTTTGTGGATCCTGCTGGAAACTATATGCGTGGATAGTGTATGAGGGTGGATACGAACCAGGTGTGGCTTCCAACATTCACTGTCTTACCACACACATGAACAGCCTCTTGGGTGAGGTCATCGAGAATAACCCTCTGCCTTTTGGGAGAGAATCTTTTAAATCTAACAATCTGTGAAGCAGGAAAATAACAGGAATCTCCTCCTTCCTTACACAATGCCATGCATATTTTCCTCGTCAAAGAATTAGAAACATTTCCTATCGATGCTTCATCAAAAGCATTCACAGAAGGGATGTTTTATTTAGGTTTGAAATGATTCTGCTTCACAATATATGGTGAAGGTTTTGCATTGTAAACCTCATTGGATATTAGCACACCAATGAACACACCGACAAAGAAACAATTGTACCCTTTCCAAGTGTGGAAAGCTCCACGGTGAAGAATTTCAAGAAACTGAAAGATATTAACTTTGTCAATTTCTAATTAATTAGTAAACTTATCGAACAGGCTCCTTAACGAGACCGTCAAAGCTTGTTTCAAGAACAAATTACATAGATTTCCGCTAGAAAATAATATCTCAGGATACAGTATATAATTTGGGTCACGACATGTCAAGCGACTGCCAGGATGATGGAAGACGAACTAGATGGACCTTGGTGTTTCTTTCGCCGAGCAAATTCTTATGTTGTTATGTTATATATTCTTCCAAAAGGGTGGAAATAATAAGATGAGTTTACAGTAATATTCAAACTTCAAAATCTGAAAGGTTTGACATTGACAAATATCCTGTGAATAATTTCACCTTTAACTGCAGATCACTTTGTACGAAGAAAGGAATTTTCTGGGCCGTCGCTATGAATGTGACAGCAATTGCCCAGATTTCCACACTTCACTTGCCCGCTGCAATTCCAGCAAAGTTGAGAGCGGGGCCTGGGCATTGTATGAGAAGCCCAACTTTGCAGGTTACGTGTACATCCTCACGAAGGGCGAATACGCTGACTACAGGCGCTGGATGGGATTTAATGACCACGTTGCTTCGTGTCGCTTGATCAATCAGGTAAGTTCCTCAATGTTCTTTTTGGGTGTATTTCAAATAACCTGCTAAATATATCCAGAGTGGCAATAGCATTGAAGCTACAATCCGCAACTGGATCTCCCAGCCTCATCCGACGCACAGTACATATTGTATTAAATCACCAGGAGATGCAATTTAGCAAAACACAATTAACCACAAAAACTACAGCACAGAAGTAGGTCAATCAATCTAAAATGCCTCTGCTACCATTACCTACTTTATTGGAGCCAAATACAGTACTCTGATCCGAATTTTTTTTTACTGTTCACCCATTCTCGTTAAGTTTCAACACGTTTTATTCAAATTGCTGTATTACAAACGTACCTTCACATCTGTAAAAGTACAACACACTGTCTAACCAGTGCTGTACTCACTCGCATAAGTAAAACTGGCTTCATTTAGCTTGAACTTCTTCCATTTATGCATAAAGCAGGTTTGAATGTTCATCATGATCAGCAGATGAGTGGTTTAGTATTGCACTGACAGGCCCTGCCTTTAACAATCTGATTGCTCGTTCTGTCGATTCCAGCTCTGACACAAACCACTTTGTGTCTTGTAGGTAGATTCAGCAAGTTACAAGATACAAATCGTTAACAAGGGTGAATATGAAAGTCAAACAATTGAGTTTACAGAGGACTGTCCATCCGTCTTTGAACAATTCCACATTCAGCACATCGACTCCTGCAATGTCCTGGATGGTGCCTGGGTTTTCTATGAACAAGCCAATTACCGTGGAAGGCAGTACCTCCTGGAGAAGGGAGAGTACAAGAAAGCTGCAGACTGGGGAGCAACTTCTTCAACAGTGGAGTCGTTCCGTCGTATCATTGAATAGCTAAGCAAGCAGAGCTTTTCCTTTTCAACAGATCAATTTGCCTCTAAATAACGTATAAATCGCATTAATAAATTTGGTGGCAACACATGACTGGCAGTGCCTCTTATGGAAAGGGCTTACTCAAATCTAAAACTGGTTGACTGCAGCTTTTTTTCCTTTGTGAGGATACTCAAATTAGATCAACCCACTAATTTATGTTGTGACTTTTAAGCCTTAACAGTAAATGCCACGTCAGCTGTTAAGTACCTTGTTACATGGGCAAGTTAAAGGTTAACAGAGGCAAATTCTGTAAGTGCGCTGGCTTTATTCTTAAATTAAAGGTCGAACCGAAGCTGTGATCCCATTCTGAAGTCCTGTGAAATATTCTGTTCATTTACACCCTCACCCCCTTCTACATAAGAACATAAAAAATTACCAGGTGAAAGAAGACCAAGGTCCATCCAGTTTGCCTTCCATCCTGGCAGTCCCACGACACGTGTCCCAAACCTTTTCTCCTAATGGTGCTGGTTACTGCTGGGGTACACTTAATGGGCAACTACCTTCCCGTACTTCGCCAAAGATAACTTTCTGTTTTAAAGGAAGCTTCATTTTTTTTTAAACATACAGAAATTGGGAAGGAGCAATCAAACACAAAAATAGCAGCAAAATTTCCTGCCCTTTTCTTCAGTTGCTACATTTTCAATAGGCGCCATTCCTTGAGCAAATAGTTTAACCTGCTCCCAGGTCTCTGCCCATTCTGTCCTTCAGCTGCTCTCAGAATGACTCTTCCTTAGACAGTTCCTGTGGAGATGCAATGGGCTTGTAGAACAACTGAGGGCGAGGATGAGACTGTAAATTTAATTTTCCAGGAAAAAATCACACCTTCCTTCCACTGAGTGGTGCTCCCCACCAGAATGTCACTGTGCTACTTTTGCTTATTTTCTTGAGCAGAACTGTAGACGAGTATATAAACGCATTAAGAAAGTGTAACCAACGTCCATCTTCACACGTGTACACTGACCATGCCAGTCGGGTTCCTGGCCCTTCAATACACAATTGTTCACATAACAGTTCTGACAGATTCAAAGACGGCCAGAGCCAAAATGTCACCAATGAAGCCTCTGACAATGCTTAGGCTGCGCCTCAAGCCTGTTTAGGCAGTGCTTTCATCTCAGTTTAGGTAGGTGCAGGAGAATTGGCTGCTGGTTCAAATGAGTTCCAAATGAAAAGCAGTTTCCTCCTCCTCCTAATACAAGTATTTGCTGCTCCTCCGCTAACAAGACACTGCTGTGATTGTGCAACATCAGAGGCCATTTCAATGAATGCTGAAAACAGGGAAAAAATAATGACTCCTCTGATACTATTCAACAAGAGTATTGAAATTGTAGTTTTACCACATTGACACTTCTCAAAATCATAACTACTTACTGTGTCGATGTAGCAGTCAACACTCTCTCCTGTTGACAGGTTGATAAGGGTTACTGCAGGGACGGAATCAGAGTGGATCCACACACCCCCGATTAAAACAAGCTCATCCCCAACAATATGGGCAGTGTGCGAGTATCTGAAAGAGTAACCGTGAATGTTCCAGCTTTAATAAAAAAACGTTTGGCTTCCTGCTAAAATATGCTGTTTTGTTCTCCTCACAGCAGATTAATTAACAGGAAGGGATTTTTTTGATACAATCAGAGAGTTTACAGCAGTGAGGAGGCTATTCAGTCTATCATATCTATGTTGCTTGTTCCCCAACAAGTTCTATCTACACTAATCCCATTCCCCTGCATCTTTTGATTTTATTTTTCCACTCAAGTATGTTTCCCCAATTCTCTCTTAAATGCTATGATGGTTTTAATTTGATGGAATATCACCATTTGGAAGTGAACAGTGGAAACTTTTCCAAATTAAATACAAATGTGAAAAATAGCAGCATCAGACAAGATTTGAATAGAAAATTTAAGAAACAGCAAAGCTCAGATCTGTATTATCTTTGCCTACAGATTACAAAGTTTATACCAATGCAGATCCTTAATTTTCAAAGGTAAATATTTAAAGTCAGGAGCTGCCGAATTAACCCCAGGATGTATCACAATTCATGTACAACAACAACAACATGTGTTTACACAAGATGACATCTCAGCATTTCACAAAGGCACATTTTTATCAGGGAAATTAAGAATGTTACATGGCATGCGTTGGATTTTACTTTCGTTACTTTAAATCCCTTACCCATTGCTGGCCTAATGAGGAAAGTATTAAAATGTGGGTGACTGGGGTAGCCCAGTAGGTTATTGCAGTGGCTCTCTATTTGAATCTCTCTCACAACTGATAAGTGCAAGTCTCACGTTGACAATTTTGGTGGCACTGCTTACCTTGGAACAATGGAAGAAGTGGTTTCTATTTTTTCCCAAATAAATCCGGACAAAGTTGGTCGAAGGAAGAACACAGATTGTAGAGGGATCAGGCCTGTTCCCAATCCTCCAGCAATTAGCACTCCGGTATTCCACGTACAGGCACTGTGGGAATGTCGGCCTTCTGGGATGGGTCCATCAATTGGAATCTGACAAGAAAACATTAGCTGGATGGTTAGATGGCTATTTCTTGTAGTTCTCCTATGAGAAAGGGCTAAATTCTACACATGGTCCATTCCCAGTTTGTTTCTGGCTTGTCTAAAACAGAATGTCCTTGATTCTTATAATATTTTTTGCCTTGAAAGGGAGGTGAGACCAGGTATGATTGAGGTATATAAAGTATGTAAGCATTTCACACCAATATAATTTTTAAATCAGCAAATGGGATTTACTCCAGTGAACCAAAGAAAGTTTCACAGATCAGTGATTTCACTTACATCGGTCCAGCTGTAATCCTCCAGGTTAAGGAAACAGCAATCACCCAGAACCAGCTCAGTGGGAGAACGGCCACCATAAACAAACAGATACCGCTGACCTTAAAAACATAAGATTAAAGGTACTGTTGACAACAGGAAAAATTAGTATAGCAACTCTAGACTCTGAATGGAGCTTAAGGAGGTATTTTCTATTAAATCCACTGATGATTGGTACAAATACAGCCCTTAGGCCACAAGCCTTATTGACCAGAACAACAACAAACAACAAAATTACATTTGTGTAGCGCCTTTCATGTCAGGAGGACGTCCCAGGGCACTGGACAATCAGTGTTTCGGACCCGAGCCGAGGGTCAGGATTGGGGAGAGTGGACGGCATGGAGGGGAAGGAGGGTGACCAAAGGCATGGTCGAAGAGGAAGGCCTTGAGACGGGTTGTGAAGGAGCTAAGGGGGTGGGCGAGGCAGAAGGACTGTGGAATGGAATTCCAGAGGGTGGGGGCAGAGCGGCTGAAGGCTCGCCCACCAATGGTGGGGCGAGCGAGGCAGGGGTCGTGAAGCTGGCCAGACCCCGCTGAGCAGAAACAGTGGGCAGGTTGGTAGGGGTTAGGAGGTTGCAGAGGTAGGAGGGAGCAAGGCCATGGAGGCATGGTAAGGACGAGGATCTTGAAGGCAAGGACGAGGATCTTGATGGGAAGTGTGATGGGAAGTCAGTGGAGTTGGGTGAGGAAGGGGGTGATAGAAGTCTGTGTCCCAAACTGTGTCTGTAATCCCAGCCAGATGAGCGAATCAAAGGATCACAGAACTGATGGAAGCTCCATTCGGCCCATGCTGATACCTGTTTCCTACTGGCGCCTGGTATTGTAATTCCAATTCCCTCCCCTCTCCTGTATTCTTTTAGTGAAATCGGTCACTCACTCCATGACTGTTTGTGCGCCATTACGCAAATTAGTTGCTGAGTTTCACCCATCTAATAGTTACACCACTTCGCAGTATATCCTGTGAAGTGCTTTCAGACATCTTGATGACGTGAGAAGGTGCTGTTTCAAAAGGATTATTACATTATTATAATTGTTCCTGTTCAATATTTATCCAGTTTCCCTTTAAAAATTATTATGGTCTTAGGAACACGTGAATTATTTTCCCAATAAATACACTCTAAACATTACAGGCCAACATAATCACCGAGTCCAAGGACACACTGTACTCTTACATCGATCAGTTGCACCTGAGAAACAAAACATGTTCTTGCGCTCCTGCATATCAGAAAGTGTCGAGTAACGGTCTCTTTGGTGGTCCTTTAAAATACATTATTAATCTTGCACACACTCATTGATCATTGTGCAGCTGTACTTGACATGAAGTTACAGAATCAGTACATTTGTCCTTTTCCTGAGTAAAATAACTTTCCAGGTGTAATTTTTTTTTACTTAATTGCACTTCTTGAAATCTAGATGAGAAGGCAGAGGATGATGGAAACAGGTTATTTATTGATGAGGTTCAGCAGTTTTATGGCTACCTTTGTAAGTGATTTCTGTTGCCGTGTGTCTCCATCGTGGGGAAGCTCCAGAACCAAAGCATTGAACCTCCTCTACGGACAGGCTGCTGCTGGAGGTGGCATCGTTTGCTACCTTACATTTCAAGCAAAGCACGCTGGTGGCTGGCTTTAGAGGAGACCCTCGGCCACCAAAGATTAAGCAGCGTCCGTCAGAAAGGGCAGTCGTACTGTGATACATCCGCTCCGCTGAAACATTAAAACAAAACAGTTCAAGCATCTTACAGAAAGCAGTTCACAAGATTATCAGAACACATTTATTGTGAGAATCAGAAAGTCAGAAGTGAACTGGAGTTCAAATTATGTGATCCCGGCCCGGATTTGAAATTGAGGCTTGCCAAGTACTTCTGTTGACTGTATTCCAATCTTACTGTTGTTGTTGTTTTACATCTTAGAAAGCAGCTGAACTGATGACTGCTCCAGACTGGTTCACGGTCTTGACTGCTCTGTCTGTTAGCAAAGCTGCGAGGGGTTCAGTAGCTCCCATTGGAAAGAATAGGGAATTCAAAACGCGCCCACACACACAAACTGGAAATGTTGCAATAAAGCCACTCTATCTTATTAAACAAACAAGGTTGTGCACTGTCCAAAAGAGCATGCTCCCTAACTGCATTGTCAACGTTACTTCCCAACGTTACTGCATCCCATTAGTACTGGGACCTGGAGCCTCCACACATCACCAGACAGTCAGGAGTTTTGGAGCATTTCACAAAAATTACCGTTCTCTAAGAAAACTTGTATGCATTAACTGAAATTAATTTCGCAAGTACATTTCTAAGGAGATGAAATTAGTACCTTCTAAAAAAAAACATACTTAATAAAGTGGCTGATCTCTCATCTCGGGGAGAAATGCATTTCCAAACTGATGCACTTTTCACCATCAACTCAACATCTCTGAGGCGTCCATGCTGACCATCTCTCTCCCCAAATCCTCCGCTGGTAACAACTATGTGAGGAGCGATAAGTGCAGAACTGTGGGCAAACCTCTTCAGTGTTGGGCTCTTTGCATCAATCTCGCACAGAGATACCGACACCAAAAGATGGTCAGGAGCTTTCAATTTCCCCATACAGAACTCTGTAGAGAAAGCAGAGTTTTACTTAATAATAATCCTTCCTTCAATTTGATATAGCACCTTATCACATTCTCAAGCCGACTCAAAGCGTTTCACAGGATTTTTACTGTGAAGTGTAGCAACGTTCTATTCTGTCATCAATCAACGCAGCTAATTTGCACATAGCAATGTCCCACAAACAGATATAAAGTGAATAACCAATTTTATCTGGGGCAATTTTGGTCAGGACACCAGGAAAAACTTCCTTCTCTTTGAGTAATACCATAGGATTAATGATACTTGAATAGGCAGATGATATCTCAATATTTCTTATTCGAAAGACCACACTTACAATAATGCAGCACTCCCCCAGCAAAGCATTGGAGTGTCAGCCAAGGCCATGAGTTCAAAGTGCAGACATTCAATTCAAATTCAAAGTCTGAACCTTCTGACTTCTTGGAAAAAGGCAGAGTTTATCCAACTAAATTCCACAAGGATTTTCAAATAAAAATCACACCAAAGATTGTTGCAGAATTAATGTTTTGCCCATTGGCTAGCATCAATGAAAGCCTTCTTTCTCTTCACAAGTAAACTTCTGACGAGATGGATTCAGCACATTCTATAACAAAGTTAGCTCAACAAGTAACGTACAATCCTGCATATCAGAATATATGTGGTGTAACTTGCAGACATGCAGCTTGGAAGTGAAAAGACTGCATTTTTTGTGCCACATTTATATTCTCTGTTCATTTATATTTCCACATCCAGATCTTTAATAAATCTAAGTGTGATTATCTGAAAGAATATTAAAGTGGCCAATCTCTAACACCGATCGCAGTTTACTTTGCTGACCTTACCTATGGGAGGCGGTGGGAGCAACAGACACTGTTTCAGATCTCCTTTTGATGCACTGACGATTAAATAGTGAGAGCACTTCAGATGCCATTCCTTAATATAAAAAATATATATACTGTATATACAATGAATGGTGGGGGGGGTAAGTTAACATTTGTTGAACATTGAAGCTGAAGCACTATCTGAATTGATATCATACAATAAGAACACAATTGCTGAATTTTTCCCCTGGACCCAAATGCATGCACTCTCTTGGCTCTTCTCCCAACAACAGCTTGAATGAAGGTAAAATGACTCCACACATTCACACATCACTTAACAGGTTTTGGGACCAAAAGTTCACTTGGAGACAGACAGATACTTGGGAAATAAAAGAATTAAAGGATATGGAGAATGGGGATTTAAAGTCCTGACATGATCAAACAAAGTGGCAGAACGGATTTGACAGGTTAAGTGGTCTCATGCCTAAATGGCCAATATTGCCTAAATGACACTCCTTACCTCACTCCTAATACAAAAACTGCATGGATGAATGTTTCACAAAGTGTAGTAATTGAAGCACAGTTCAACAAAAAAAACAATACTTCAGATAATGTGAAATATCAGCTTCCATTACACAAACCGTTGATGCTGTATTCAGCATTGAGTACTCTGCCCAGACCCATCAATAAATCCAATTCTGCCTACTTTACCACATTAAGTAATATAGTAACTGATCTGAAGCTTGTGCTGATTAAAAATGGTACAGTTAGACACTTGACAACAGGGTGGATTCATGTTTATCTGCTTGATTTCCAAAAGAAAAATATTTTCTTGCTTTTGAGCTTACATGTCTTACTAGGTTTCTACATTTCTATCATAGTTCAAAACATTGACAAAAATATCAAATAAAATGTTACACTATAATTATAAGCGCAAGATTATAACCAGTGGAGTAAAAGGAGAGGTCCACAAGGATGTCTTCTCCCAGAGGGTTAAAAAAAAGTATGGAATGATTTGCCAGGGTTGACTGTTACAGCAGAGAAAATTGGGGGCATTTGTAAAGAAATTGGATTAGTACACGGATATAGAAGGATATTAAAGGCTACGGGGAAAGATCAGCGAATTGGGATTAGGATGGATGGTTTCTTGGAGGAACAAGCCCTGACTAAAATAATGGACCAAATGGCCTCCCTCCTGTGTCGTACTTTTCTATGGTTCTTGTTTACAAGAACATTTGTATTTGTTATTTACATTTGTTTTGCGCCTATCACGTCAGGAGGATGCTGCAAGGCGCTGTAAACTCTTTGTGAACTGCAGCAGTACATCCGAGTTAACCCAAGAACAAACTATTCACAGTAAAGGTTTACTCCAAGAAGCAATGAGAATTAAAGGTCCATTTCCTTCTTGGATGCGTTCCCAGGAAGTAAGGACCTTCATGGTTTTTACTTTTTAAAAACACACTCAATCTGTAATTTGGGGGGGGGATAAAAAAGCACCAAATAGCAGATTAATCATTTGATGTAGCAATATGGAGAGCAAGCAATTAAATAAATGGGTAATTTCATTCAGAAGTAAAAAAGGAAAATGATAATACTCTCATGAGAAAATGCCATGGGCTGCCACATTGGATTTATTCTAGGAACACGCATATTTTTGACCGAGTAGGAAAAGGGCAATGCTAACATTCTGCACATTTATCGAGTTCCACTTTAGAATATTTTCCACTAGATATTTTTATGAACTCGATTTTTCAGGATTTATGGGATAGTTATGAGATAGTTACATTATGGCAGTTACATTTTGACAGGATCTTTCAGTGTTGAATGTTTCAAAAATGGTTAACTAACAAGAAAAAGTTAATATGCACCTCATACTCATCAAAAGGTTCCAGCTTTTCAATTCTCTGTTTCTCCTCTTCTGGAATAAGTCCAACGTAAAACTCATTCATGTCAAGGCAAGTGCATTCTTCCCAGCCCTAACAACAACAACAACATGATTACATTTGTACAGTGCCTTTCACGTCGGGAGAACGTCCCAAGGCGCTGGACAGAGTACAGCATTTCAGAGACATTTAAAATAAAAATAATTCTGCCATTAGTTAGTTATGTGTATACCTTAGTTAGGTATACACATGTGTATACATTAGTTAGGTATGTGTATACCTGCACATATAATGTATTTTAAACCACCATAACACTGCAAAAAACATATGATAGGTGTAGAAAAACAATACATTAGTATTAGCAATTCCAGCTTACAGACCATTGATAGGTGTATTTGGGTCTTCTCCACCTTCCCCGACTCCCCCCCCCCCACCAAGAAAAACCCTAAAAGGAACGTCACGTGGCAAAACTTGCACATTTTGCCTGAAAAAGAATCCTTATCGTTTTTTTAAAACATTAGAAATTTAAATGTTTTGGTGGAAAACAATACAAAGAATCAATGTGGGCTGTCCTCAATGTTTATTTAGTTACTTTCATTGCTAAGTATTTTCTTAGATACTCTGCAAACTGTATTCAAAAACTTTGATAGAAATCTGGCTACATTTTCCCTGCCCACACAAGTCAATGAAGGAAGACACCCTCAACTATCAAGTTAGAACTCAAAGGTGATTCACAAGAACTCCAGGATGATTAAAATAAATACAATTGAATGTTAATAATGAATAGCAGGTCAATAAGGATCAGAGCGATGTGGACGTAATCCCTTATCGAGGTGGGAGTGATGATCTCAGAAAGTCTGCACTGGGTTTTATCAAAATTAAATGCCAGCGCAAGACTGGGAGGCAGCCAGTGAGGGATAAGGAGACAGAACTGAAACTGCAAAGTCACAGGGACACCAAGATCATCTTTGCTGACATAATACAGCTGCTTGGCAGAGCAATCAACCACTCTGTGCTTACTCCTACCATACAGAGGCATTACTACAAACAGTGAAAGCTACCCAGAAAAAGGAGCACTGTCCATGCCTTAAAAGCAAGGTAGAGGAGAACATGGATGGCCATCAATATTTGGGGATGAGCTATCCTATGAGCAACAATTAGATACATTGGTGTGTTGGAAGAGGGCAAAACACTATTTGCCTCTCATGAAGGGAAGTATGAGTGGTGGGAATGGAACCATAATGAGGGTGACTATGCGTTGTATGGGAAGATTTGAACTCTCATCGCCGTGGATGTAAGCAGATTAAATGTAATCACCACTACCTTGAACTGACCTCACTTAAGAAGCGTTTCCGCTGAGTGTCCTTTCCTGGAAACGGAACAAGTGCGTGTAGTGTGGCGTTCAACTGTGTGAAGTGCTGCTGCATGACCTGCCCGAAGGGATCTTCTGGGCAGATCTGCTCATAGATTACAAACACTGCCGATGAAAATCGTTCCGCTGCCCAATGGATTACTGCTGAGGAGCTGAAAACAATTCAACTCAGGTCAGAAAACCCGACCTCACGAATACTTCATTTGCTGTTGCAACGTTAGTCTAAAATACATCGTAAACTCAACCGAAAGGAAGGAGAGCACTAACAAGCAAGATTTCCTTTCTCTTCACAGCGAGGCCTTTTAATTAGCGTGTAGCTCCTATGCTGTGGTTTGATGTAATATAGCAAACAAAATTATTCCTCTAAAAACCCTTGCATTTCGATATATAGCAATATAAAGAAAATAAACCCAAAACAGTACAATTCAGATGGTAAGGTCAAGATCTTCAAGGTTGTGAAGGACACATTTAGGAAGGAAACCAGGATGGATACAACCAATTACTGCTGTTGATTGCTCTCCGGGGGAAGACAAACAAAAGCTGTAATGGGTTACCAGGAAAGGTGAGCCCTGACTCAGTTAGGAAACAGCTTGATATAGCAGGAAGGTAGGCTTGATATTCATGGTTTCAATGAGCTGAAGGGCTTCAATTATCTGAACTTTTCTTGTTCTAAATCTCATCTGTTTTTTCTTTGAATCTACCAACAGGAACACTTTACAATGAACAGTCTCTCCCTATCCCAGATAACCCGGTTTTATTTACTCATAGGGCAAATTTAAGACTAAATTTGAAGTGAGGGTTTCTTTGTCAGGAAGAATGCTGTAACTTCGAGGCAGCACAGTAATAAAATGAAATCTCACATTTTAATCTTGCATTTTAATTACCTTTCAACTTGCATGTAAGTCAGTACAACTTCTGACAGCAGTAGCGTCGGGCAGCAAGGGTCCAGGCCGGCCTCCATCAGGGCATGATCCAACTTCATTACTTCAGTCAGGTCAACACCAAGTAACTTGTAATCCATGGCACTTAAACACACAGCATCTGCAGTGCATTAAGCACAAAGAATGATAAGAATGTAGGCTCTTTCAAACTTCACTTTAATTAAAAGAACCAGAATTTAAGTTCAAAAGTCAATGGTTGAACAGTCCAGTGTACACATCAGCCCTCACATTTATACGTTAAATAATGTGACATAATCAGATTTCACTGTACATGCCTTCATTCCTATATTTCTAATTTATATTTCCCTTCTCTTCTCTCTACTCCTCTCCAGAAGGCAATCACTCTTGTCGGGCTGGATTTCCGCTTGGATCCGCAGCCTTTGGCAACTTGCTGACATGTACATTCTTCATGCGACAGCCAAGACTGAGCACGGCATTAACTGACTTACATAAAAAGTTTTAGCGCTCCAAGATGCTGCCCCGAGTGAAGAGCACTATATAAATGCGAGTTATTGTTGTTGCTATCAGTCACATCACCCAACAACACATCTGCTTGTTCAGGTTTACGTTAAAAGATCCTATGACACTATTCAAAAAGAGAAGGGAGTTTCCCCTGGTTGCCTGATCAACCATCTTCCAGATAAAATTGGTAATTTACTTCATTGTTGTTGTGGGACAGTGCTGAAGCAAAATTGATTACCGCATTAGCAAACAAAATACCCAATCATTGCACTCTACTGTAAATCCAGTGAAGCGATTTGAGACAGTTCAATAACATGATAAGATGCTTTGTCAAATGCAACCATTATCATCATCACAAGCACCTCAACCTGGCCTCTACTTTGTGCATTTCCAACAGTGGTTATTGGATACAATCAGGAGGCAGAATCCTAGAATTATAGATATTTATGGCACAGGAGGCCATTCAACCCATCCGAGTCTGCACAGGGTCTTAGTGCATGATTTTCATTCAATCACAGTACCCTATCTTAGCCCCATACCCATTTAAACTTCTATCCTTCATATAGGTATCTACTTATAGGTATCCTTTGATATGGCTTTCGCCTCCCATTCCAGGTACATTAAAAATCATACTATCCCATCTAAGCTAACCAAGCACACAGCAAAGCTCAAACCTCTCTGAGCCAGAGCACACTAGGCAGTGCATTTACCTACCGGTACTGATAACCCATCATACCATTCTGTGCTGGTTTCAGCTCATCAATATAGCCGAGGAGCTGCACAAGTTCTTGGCTGTTTTTAATCAGCGCAGCTTTCCGCTGAACAACATCTGGAAAATCCACCTCATACATGACCACGTTTTCTAGCTCTCCGCTGGCCTTTAGTCGGAAATATGAGGAATCAAATCCAGCTCCAAGAGACAAGATCTGTAGCAAAGTGAACAAAAGCAGAATACTGCAACCTTGAGTCTAACCAATACTCATACTGCAGTCCTGTAACTCAGTGGTTAGAGTGGTTACTTGCCTAGCAAGCGAGAGACCTGGGTTTAATTCCCACAGGACAAAACAATGGGCAAGTTTCTTTACTCCACAACCCTCTGTTTACGTAACAGCAAATAGGAACCCAATTATTAGTCGACTGGCGGATCACTTTTCCGGGGGTAATAACTCCTTAAAAAAAAGTCACTCAATCCAGGACTGTTTATGGGACGCTGCTGTGTACAATTGGCTGCTGTGTTTCGTTGAGACGTCTCGAAGACTGATAAGGCGCTATATCAAACGCGAAGATTATTATTATTATTAATAACAAACCCCAGTGCACACATCCTATGTATTAATATCTCTCCAACGTTTCTCCCAGTGTCCTGTAAGTCAGTTAATGACGTGCTCAGTCTTGGCAATCGCATGAAGAATGTACATGTCAGCAAGTTGCCAAAGACTGCGGATCCAAGCGGAAATCCAGTAAGATTGCAGATTTCTACAGGTTTTAAATGACTTAATTCCAAAGTGTGACACTTTTCATAAAGCAACAACACTTTATAGCAAAGGGGAAGGGGGTCATTCACCCAATAGCTGTTTACGGGATATTGCTATGTACAAATTGCCTGCTGCGTTTCACCTACAAAATACACAGTCCACCAACTTTACATTATACCCTGTGAAGCACTGTGAGACACAGCGATAACATATTGATAAGCCGCTGTATCAAATGTAATGATTCTTATTATTATTATTTATTCCCAGAACACATTATAAAGTTTAATCCTGATCTATGTACATTTCCACACAGTCCAGTTATGTGTAGCTATAACATCACAGAATACACATTACTCAGGGTGATTACGTTTCTGGAATCACAGCCGTTGAAAGTCAATTTAATTCCATTCTACCAGCTTGAAAATGGGCAGATAAAAATAAGACCATGTTCTATTACAGGCTGCCATTCTCTCTCACAATGAACAAGTGGCAAGATTACAGGTTTGGGCCTATGATTCTAGCCAGTATGATTTGACAGAGCTGGTAGGTGCATCTTCACAAGGAAACAAGCCACAGTATAATCTGCCTGGGGCTGTGTCTCATTCCTCCCGAGCCTAGCTACACATCCAGGTGAATTCCAGGGAGACTAGGTTGTCTGCCTTCCCCCCTCAGCCAAGGAGGTACGTGGTAGGGAGTGAATCCCAACACACTCACCTGTCTCCTGGAGTGGCTCACCGTCTTTTTCAAAAAGCAGCGCAGAACATAATCCACAGCTTTCGCCCTCACATAGTAACCACTATCAAAGAAAAATATTCACGGTAAGATTGCAGATTTCTACAGGTTTTAAATGACTTCATTCCAAAGTGTGACACTTTTCATAAAGCAACAACACTTTATAGCAAAGGGGAAGGGGGTTAGCACTGCACAGTGGTGTAGTGATTAGGAACGAAAAACAACCCTGACTAATTTTCCATCTCTCTGGGTGGGGAATTAAGTCTAATTGTCGCACCCCAATGTCTGCCCGAGGTGAGGTCAGCTCATTTAGCAACAGGTTCGGGTTTGAAAGTGGAGAACTTCCAGGTTTGTATGGCTCATTCTCACTGAGTAGATGCTTTAGCAACGAAGCTGAGTGGGAAGAACTGAATCTTCCACCTCATAGAAATACGGTCTTCAAGCAAACACACAATGCAGTAATGTCTGTTGGATCAACACTCATTAACACATTGTTATTTGGAGAAAGACAGTGTACATCTCTTCTCCCACCCCAGCAGTGGAGGAAATTCTAGGTTAAGGTGCGATATGCATCAAAATGTACAATTGCTTCTCAAAACTCAAATAGCTACATACCGATTTATCAGTGGAGCCCTCCTGGTAGTTTTATTCACAAATCTTTTCAGGAAATCATCACTAAAGTAGCCCAAACTGGCCATTGAGCATTTACTGACAATACTGTTGTCATTTGTGCCCTGGACCTGCACAGGTAATAAAACAATATGAGCATTAAACAGGTCTCAGTTATAGCGCTATACAGTCTAAAGGCATTAAGTACACTTGGTGGTGGTAGGGGGGTGGTGGTAGGGGGGTGGTGGTGGGGGAGTGGTGGGGGGGGGGGGGGAGGGGGAGTTCAGCATAACCGGATACGAAACATTGTACAATGCATTACTGTCACATGAACCGAATTTGTTATTGGGCTTTCCACGGTTTAACGTTGCCGAGTTTTGCCCTTCTCCGATCACCTCCAAATGCACAGTTACTACACTTCACAGCGGTATCCCGTGAAGCGCTTTCAGGGGACAACTCGACGATACGACACTACTACTACTACTACTACTACAACTGCTGCTGCTGATAGTAGTAATCTTTGCATTTGATGTCGGGCCTTAAGGCGTCTCCGAGGCGCTTCGCGGAAAAGTGCTGTAAGGTGTAGTGACTGTGTATTTTGTGGGTGAAAAATCTCAATTCTCTTGACCCACTCATTATATATGAACATATACAGTATTTAGATATATATATATATATCCGTATATGTACATATACCCTCTCTCTCTCTCTCTGCACCAGTGAAGGTGAGGCCAGTCGGTCACTCACGGCTGTGTCCCTCCCGGTTTGGCCTTTGCTCCTGTTGCCTTTCTCCGCCATTTTCGCGTCCCTCCGGGTCATGGCGGCGACCTGCACATCTGCGCATGCGCTGCTCCGCCGCCCGCCGCCGCCGCTTCTGCGCATGCGCTGCTCCGCCGCCCGCCGCCGCCGCTTCTGCGCATGTCCCTGGAGCCCACCACCGCTTATTAGAGGTGCGCACCTGTAAATCACCAGCACTCACTCACTCACTGCACCCAGGACCGAGGGGGGGGTATCAGCCTCTCTGTGGCTACAAGTCCAAGGCATTGGGGGCTTTTGATCATCAGCAATAAGACCCTCTTCCTCCTCTCATTTGGCACCGCGCCTTTCACCTCTCAAAGCACTTCGCAGGAATCTTGCTCTCCAGTGTAGTGACTGTCACTGCAGGGTTTGCAGCAGTGCGGAGTGGGGTGGCTGGTGGCGATGGGGCATTGGTGGTGCCGCAGTGCGGGCTGGGGGAATGGATTACTCCGTGGCTGGGGCTGCCTCCTTGAGGGTCCTACCACAGCCAACCCCACCCGCCTCACCACCTCCACCCGCCCCACCCGCCCCACCCGCCTCGCCACCTCTCACCCTCCCCACCCGCCCCACCGCCTCTCACCCCACCCGCCTCGCCGCCTCTCACCCTCCCCGCCTCGCCGCCTCTCACCTTCCCCGCCTCACCACCTCCACCCGCCCCACCCGCCTCGCCATCTCTCACCCTCCCCGCCTCGCCACCTCTCACCCTCCCCACCCCCCCACCGCCTCTCACCCCACCCGCCTCGCCGCCTCCTCTCACCCTCCCCGCCTCGCCACCTCCACCCGCCCCACCCGCCTCGCCGCCTCTCACCTTCCCCGCCTCACCACCTCCCCCCCCCCCACCCGCCTCGCCATCTCTCACCCTCCCCGCCTCGCCACCTCTCACCCTCCCCACCCGCCCCACCGCCTCTCACCCCACCCGCCTCGCCGCCTCTCACCCTCCCCGCCTCGCCACCTCCCCCCCCCACCCCCTCGCCGCCTCTCACCCTCCCCGCCTCGCCGCCTCTCACCCTCCCCGCCTCGCCACCTCCACCCGCCCCACCCGCCTCGCCGCCTCTCACCCCCCCGCCTCGCCGCCTCTCACCCTCCCCGCCTCGCCACCTCCACCCGCCCCACCCGCCTCGCCACCTCTCACCCTCCCCGCCTCGCCGCCTCTCACCCTCCCCGCCTCGCCGCCTCTCACCCTCCCCGCCTCGCCGCCTCTCACCCCCCCGCCTCGCCGCCTCTCACCCTCGCCGCCTCGCCACCTCTCACCCCACCCGCCTCGCCACCTCTCACCCTCCCGCCTCGCCGCCTCTCACCCTCCCCGCCTCGCCACCTCCACCCTCCCCACCCGCCCCACCGCCTCTCACCCCACCCGCCTCGCCGCCTCTCACCCTCGCCGCCTCTCACCCTCCCCACCTCGCCACCTCCACCCGCCCCACCCGCCTCGCCACCTCTCACCCTCCCCGCCTCGCCGCCTCTCACCCTCCCCGCCTCGCCGCCTCTCACCCTCCCCGCCTCGCCACCTCCACCCGCCCCACCCGCCTCGCCACCTCTCACCCTCCCCGCCTCGCCGCCTCTCACCCTCCCCGCCTCGCCACCTCCACCCGCCCCACCCGCCTCGCCATCTCTCACCCTCCCTGCCTCGCCTCCTCTCAACATCCCCGCCTCGCCGCCTCTCACCCTCGCCGCCTCGCCACCTCTCACCCCACCTCGCCGCCTCTCACCCTCGCCGCCTCTCACCCTCCCCGCCTCGCCGCCTCTCACCCTCCCCCGCCCTCGTCGCCTCGCCGCCTCTCACCCTCCCCGCCTCGCCGCCTCTCACCCTCCCCGCCTCGCCGCCTCTCACCCTCCCCGCCTCGCCGCCTCTCACCCTCCCCGCCTCGCCGCCTCTCACCCTCCCGCCTCGCCACCTCCACCCCCCCCCGCCTCGCCACCTCTCACCCTCCCCGCCTCGCCGCCTCTCACCCTCCCCGCCTCGCCACCTCCACCCGCCCCACCCGCCTCGCCATCTCTCACCCTCCCTGCCTCGCCTCCTCTCAACATCCCCACCTCGCCGCCTCTCACCCTCGCCGCCTCGCCACCTCTCACCCCACCTCGCCGCCTCTCACCCTCGCCGCCTCTCACCCTCCCCGCCTCGCCGCCTCTCACCCTCCCCGCCTCGCCCCCTCTCACCCTCGCCGCCTCTCACCCTCCCCGCCTCGCCGCCTCTCACCCTCCCAGCCTCGCCACCTCTCACCCAAGCTCACAACCACAGCTGGAAGCAACTGCTTTTTTAAGTGATCAGATCACCAGTGCATATGCAATTGACAACTGCATCATATGCTTGAAAAGACACCATACATACACCTAAAGGCCTATTACCTCGTCACTGGTGACTGCTTCTCTACAGGAACGTGGCAGCCAATTTACACGCAGTAATGACCCACAACCGCTCATGAAATGAAGGACTGATTTTATTTGGAAAATTGATGACCATGACACTTGGAGAAACTCCCATCTCTCCTCGAATAGTGCCATGGGCTCTTTTAAATTTCCACCTGAACAGACAGGTGGGATCTCAGTCTAACATCTGATCTCAGTTTAACGCATTCATAACATCCAGGCTTGACTATGCAAATTCATTGCTTGTCTGCCTCCCCAACTCCTCCCTCCATAGGCTGCAGGTCATCCAGAACTTTGCAGCCCGTGTCCTTTCCCGCACCAGGCTCCGTGATCTTATCACCACCATCCTCGCCGGACTCCACTGGCTTCCCATCACACAGAGGATACAGCTCAAGATCCTGGTCCTTAACTTCAAAGCCCTCCATTGCCCTGCTCCCCCCTACCTCTGCGACCTCATAACCCCCTACCAACCCGCCCGCTCCCTCCGCTCAGCGAGCTCCGGCCTGCTTCATGTCCTCCGCCTTGCCGCCCCACCATTGGCACACGGGCCTTCAGCCACTCTGCCCCCACCCTCTGGATCTCCATCCCGCAGACCCCCGCCTCACCCCTTCCTTGCCTCCTTCAAGACCCATCTCAAGACCCTCCTCTTTGACCGTGCTTTCGATCACCCTGCTTCCCCCCTGCGCTCCACCCTCCCCAATCCCGACCCCCATCTTGGGTCCAAAACTCTGACTGTCCAGCACCTTGGGAAGTCCTCTCCCGATGTGAAAGGCTATACAAATGTAATTTTGTTGTTGTTGATCTGAAGGAAGCCATCATCAACAATCAGCATCCCCCAAGCACATTATTCAAGCGTCAGCCTAGAATGTAGTATCAAAGTCCCAACATGGGCTCGAACCCATAACCGATGAGGCAGGTTGACACCAATAAATTCCAAGTGGAGTATCCAAACATATTTATCTCACGCACTTGACACACAGATGCAGTTGCAGGTGAATATTGCAAAGTGACGCTTGATGCTGCCATTTGTTTGAGCATGCATGTATGAATGCATGCATGTGCATATGTATATAGGCATGCATGCATGCAAACAAGTTAGAAAGCACTGCTGAAGGTGCAATCACAGATGCACTAAATCTTGCTTTGCCACTTTGGAATCTATTAAGAATATCCTGCTCTTCTTCCTCTGACCACTTGGTGAAGCACTTGGGCCACAAGTGGCACATCTGGAAACAGTTACAGCTTTGCGTCAGCTCACCCAAAGGAGATTTCAACAACCACCCCCATCGCTCCCCCCCACATTGAGGGCAGGTATCCATTGTGTCCTATAAAGAGAGAGGCTTGAATTTTCTCATGTTGTAGCCTTAGGACCATTCCCTTAAAGTTTAAGTCCCCTTAAAACCATCCCCTTAAAGTTTAGGATAATGTAGAATTTTGCAAAGTTCTTAACTTCAGACATAATTTGCTAGCTGTTTTCTCTCAGTTCTTCATAATAATACTTTTGATTATAGCGCCTTATCAACTCATTGAATCTTCCCAAAGTGCTTCACAAGATTTTACTGTAAAGTGTAGTGACTGTGTACATTATCACACCAGATAGACACTCCAGTTTCTAACTGACGTCCAAGATGAACGAAGGACATTTGAATCAGAAATCTTCATCTTGCTCTCTTGAGCTCATTCGCTTTTTTCCCATTGCCTATAATTATTTTACTTTTCTTCATTATTAAATCAATCAGTCCTGCTTTGTTGAAATGCAGCTTGTGTCTGATGGCATGGAATTTGCGCTCAAAAAGAGGCACCGACTTTGAATAACCCGTCGGAGGATTGCTTTAATTGATTCAGCGGCCTTCATGTACGCAACGTCTAGAACACTCATAAACGACGGAGTCAGATGAGGTACATGACCGGTATGGTCAAAGAGAGAGGTTTTAAGATGAGATTTAAAGGCAGAGAAGGTGAGACAGAGGGATACAAGGTGGAATTGCAGAGGTTAGGGGCATGGAATGTGAAATGTGTCCAGGTTATCTGCTATCTATATCCATTGTAGAAGCTCTTGTATCCATTTAAAAATTGCATGCCTGCAAAAGCAAACAGCACCATATCAGCTGCCTTGTTAACACATAGCACCTCCTCTTATCTCTTCCACCCGGATACATTGTGCCTGGATTAATGTGACAATTGCACAGTCCATTGAGTATTGCCATTGAAGTTTCTGTCTCTTGTTAGTATCCCTTTAACGATAAAATTCACTTGTTGAAGCAGTTGCCTGTGTGCAAGTTTGTAAAACTAATGAGGAAAGAATGCCAACTAGCAGCTAAATGACTCACAGAGGGATGCAAGTGGTTTGGCGTTTGCAGGATTAATAAGTTAGGTATTTGTCATGAACCCCAATTGACCTGGCAGCACATTCCCTTACCCCACTCAATCATGGAACAGTGTGCATCCATACAAGTCACAATAAGTCCTCAGCTCCTTAACCTATGGAAATAATTACCCCTCGGGAAGGGCACTGTTTTAGTGCAAGTTGTTGGTGTAATTACAACCTTTCACCCAAAAGATAGCTTATCACGTCTTTGAGACGTCTCAAAGTGCTTCACAGAATATACTGTATATTTTGTGGGCGAAACGCGACAACCAATTGCACACAGCAGATGTCTGTAT